AAAATGGTAGGTACATGAAAAACAAATAACATTACTGAAAAATAATATAAAGTTATAATTTCTTCTACGCATGGTCAATATTACAAATATCCTTTTAATAATAATAAATTATACAGCAGAAATAAGGATACAAAATGATATCTTGACAATGTAAATATCTGTAGGTATACCTAAACTCTTTTATTTAAGCATGCCTACACACATAAACAAATATAAACATTTGTACAAAATATAAAATAAATGACATCTATTTCACTTGTTTCATCCATATTTCAAATAGTTCTCACTGACTAAGTAGTTGCTCTTCAAATTATATCGAAACGTACAGTTGTTGGTCCATTTTCTTAGTTCTTGTCCCTTGTTCTCTTGTCTGTAATACTGTAATAGGTAGTCGGTGTCGGTATAACTATACATATTTAGGTAGATGTGACGCAAAATTGGAAATCTCTACACATATCGTTTTAAACATTTTGCATAACAATTTATTATTTTATATGCACCTTTACAATAACCACAACTGCACACACTACAAATAATCACATAAATAGAGTCAAAGTAAAGATGAACAAACAAAGCAAACTGGCAATTCGCAAACCTAACCTAACATAATACGATTTGAAACGACTCACGGGAAACAAATAAACTCGGGCTGTTACGCGCAGTCTACGCAAGTCACGAACATACATTTTTTCTAGACTTGTGTTATAATATGCTACCACATTTTTTTTTTCTAATTATGTCTGTATAACAAAGGCAAATGAACTAACGCTTGAGAGGGATTGGGGATTGAGAGCAAAATTTAACTAATGCCGAATATTCCATAAGATAAGCAAAAATAGCAAAGGGTTGTTCGTCTGCAGTGTTGCCAGATGGGAGGACATTACACCTTTTAGGGAGTTTTTTCACATAAAAGGGGTAAAAGGGTTTTTTGTGTGGAACAGAGGACATTTTATCATCCCAATGATTTACTTTATCCACTTCCACACTCTCCCACGGCTTTACGTAAATGTTGTTGATCACTGATCAGTGATCAGTAAAACATCCTTTAATTCGTTCTGGTGACCAGCTAATAGCAATTTCAAAATAGTCTATGAAATTAACTTTGATTCTGAACAGATGCAAAGGTAACGTTCCTTTCTCTACCATTCTTTTATACAGTGAGTATCATACATCAGTCTGTTGCCGTTGCCTCTTCCGTGTTTCCGTGATTTCAGGTTTCAGATTTCAAATTTTAATGTTTCGTTTTGTTGTGTAAGAAAACATTAGAAATATTCTTCGGACGTCTGTAACTTGCATAAAAAAGTATTTCCGATATTAATTGAAGAACCAAAAGGATGACAGTATGTACCAGGTTCGGTCGCTGACACAGCAACTCGGCATTGAATTATTTGAAAAACTTGTATTTATTTAGCCAAACCCATATACAGATCTGACGGCCTTTCGATTTGGCAAAAATAGTAGCTATTAGTAGCTAATAGCAACTTAGTTACTCTGAACTGATATTAGTTGAAGAATGCGAGCGCGGGCAAACGAAATACAAATACAGTTGCATTGGGCCACTGGGCAATAAATCTCAGCAATGCGGAATATGGTGTGATTCAGGTAATTTTAATTTATTATAGGCACCTTCTATTAATCATTGATATTACAATTACGAAAGGAATAAGAAATAATATTATTACAACATAATGGCATTTTGGAGATCTTTTGAAACGGAACAAAACGAAATTTACCATCAATATAATAAAATTATTTTGAGTACATCAATAACTAAAATATGTTGTCGGCCAAATGAACAAATAATAGAAATTTTCTGCACATTATATGCAAATTATTATAATTTTTTACCTGTATTAGAAAACTTGTTTAGGGACGCCTATGAAACTCATTAAATTTTATTGCCAGGCGTTTTTTTATATGTTCAGCTGACTTCAGAAAGACTATAACACTGGTTGCATAGATTGTGATACTAATTACTAATATACGTTTATAATATTACAGATACTTTATTTTTTTGTATCGGAAATTGCAATAACATTAATCAGAATAATATGCAACAGATAATAATATTATAATTTTTTAAAGGGGTATTTTTCTTCAAAAGAGGACTTTTTTAAGTCTGTTGGGGACNAAACTTTTTTAACATTTTCACACAGTAGGCATCTTTCATGGTGACAGTTTCGTTGCAATGTGGGCCAGGAAAATAAGCTGGGAAATTACCATTTCCCACTTTTTTTGTTTCGGCAAGCTGAATTTATTATCACTATAGATACTAAATATAATTTACAATAACATATTAGTTTTCACAGTCATAAAAATGAGGGGAAGATTGTTTACAGGGTGGTTAATTGTATAATTTTTACGTAAATTCAAGTTTTTCGCTTATAACTTTTTTCCATTCATTTCCACGGGAAAACAGTAAAGTATTTTTTTTCGTCTTCAAAAGACCTACAAAACTAGCCCTCGAGCGTCAAAAAATATTGATTAGATCAAAAGTTATAAACAGAAGAAGTTTATTTACGACTTTTGAATTAAACATTTATAAACTGCGTTATTATTACCAGAACGTTTTGGCATCGCATCCTCTCATTCCTTATCACTGTCTAATAACTCGCACGTAATCTTGAATCGCTAAGTTGAATAAGTTATGGCCTTATAAACAAATTAACTAATTATTAGTCTGGACGATCCCGAGGATCTTCCACAATCGCACTGATTTTTTACATGGTAGATTTCATAATAATACTTTGAAATCTATCACTTTTTATATTTTTAAAATAAACCTACCTAAACCTTTTGAAGACAAAAAAAGTACTTTACTGTTTGCCCGTGGAAATAAACGGAACAAAGTTATAAGCGAAAAACGTGAATTTACGTAAAATTAACCACCCTGTAAACAATCTTCCTCCCATTTTTATCACTGCGGAAACTAATAGGTTATTGTACATAATATTTAGCATCTATAGTGATAAATTTAACTTGCCGAAACAAAAAGTCGCGTCCAACTTTATATTTCCTGGCAACTAATGATTTTCACTTTCGCATGCTGTCATTTAAATTCTTACGTTTCTTACAATTAGTTGTGATTGCATTTAATTCGATTTTTTTACAACCATGAACCATCATGCTTTTACTAACCGATAATATGCCGATATGCATTTTATTTATGGTTTCTGTAATGGAAATAGTCTGGGGGCTCAAAGAGAGTATCGGCAACGTTTCCCTGATAGAAGGCAACCTTCTGCAACATTGTTTGGGAAAATTCATGTAAGAACGATGGAATCAGGAGCCCTAACTCCAAGATATTGTGAATTTGGCCGTCCAAGGAGGCGTAGTCATGATTTAGATTTAGACGAAGTAATTTTAGGATTTTTTAACGTAATCCTACTGCGAGTGTAAGAAGAGCGTCTGCTCATTATAGTTGATGGTTGTAAAAAAATCGAATGAAATGCAAAGTCAAGTACAAAGATGCAAGATGCAAGTCATTTACATTTGGTATTATTTAAGTTCAATTGATTCATTTTTACGATCATTTTTGAATTTATTTGAATTAGCATGGGTAATAAAATAAAAATAAAACAGGAATTCAGTAAAAAAGACACATATTGATTAGGTCCAAAAAATGATTCACTATAATCTAGGCATATTTTCATTTCATTTTTTCTAAAGGTCTTGTATTTTATTTATAATTTTGTTCTATTAATATTTATTAATTCCACTTGCAAGGAGTCCCTTTGAAAATGCACTCCTAAAGAAAAATACAGAACTAGTAAATTCCATTTATCGTGGACTATTTCTAGGTAGGTATTGGTCTTTGACAAGGCTGATCATTTGTAACTTTTTATTATAGACTATTAATACTAATTAATAATAATAATTACTATTAGTTAACTAGGTATTGCTAATACAAGTTGCCCATACAGACAAGGCGAAAACCTCGCATTCGTGGGAGAAATTTTCCGACTCGATTTTTTTGCATATTCAGATTCATGAGATATTCCATAACATGAATCAAGATGATGCCGGCCGGAAATCTGGTGCCTATTTGTTTAAACAAACTTTTTTTAAACAAATTGTAAAAATAACAATTTTTAACCCAGAAATCGGTCGTTGAAAATCGTCATTTTCGCATTTTTAGGAACTTAAATTGTTTATAACTTTGAAACTATCAATTTTAGAGTCATAGTGCGTAGGAACTTTTTTGTTTATAATGCGCCAAAAAACCTAAAAAAAAAATTTTTCCGGAAAGAAAAAAACAATTTTTACAATTCGTTTAAAAAAAGTTTGTTTAAACAAATAGGCACTAGATTTCCGGCCGGCATCATCTTGATTCATGTTAAGGAACATCTCACGAATCTGAATATACAAAAAAATCGATTCGGAAAATTTCTTCCACGAATGCGAGGTTTTCGCCTTGTCTAATAGGGGTTAATTCCCTCAGTATTATCTGTTATGTTAAACTTTTGCTTAATTAGATTTTTGGTATCCAAGAATATTATTTGACCGCATTTGGTAGGATTTTAGATTTTTTTTTGTAACTATGTAAATTAGTTACCCTTTAAAATAAAATATAAATATGAGAGCTAATAATAAAATATATATTTAAAAAAAAAACTGTATGGAGTATTCTAAATTCCACGCTTTTCGAGTAAAGGAGAAAGTAGGTAAAACGTCACAGTTTTCAATAAAAGCTTTATGGGGAAACAAAAAAGTAGATGAGATGTCACGGTTTTCGAAAAAAATTACCCAAGAAACTAAATCTCAATATCTCGATTAATAGATAGATGATGTTGAATAAGTGGCAGGAGTACCCCACAGAAGAAAGGTACAAGTCATTAGAGGACCCTAATTCCACTATATCACATTGATTCCAACAGAAGACATTTCTTTGGCAAAGGATGACAAACAGAACAGAAAATTTCCTTTTCGTATTGAAATTTTCTTTCAAATAATGTATTCCACACAGAGACGGTTTTTGACTTCCATACCAGAGAGGGCGGAAAAATTTAAATACAAAGTATTGAAAAAATAAAACATAATTGGGTAGGTAGTTTTATTTTAAGTAATATTGAAATATAGAGAAAATGTACTTAACATTATTTTTTATAGTGATAGTCCATTCCTTGTCTAAAATAAGCCTTACAATTACTTTTTCATTGAAGTTTGGTATTTCTCGCACCATTGATTTTTCAATAAATAGCACTGCAAGTGCGATAATCAATTTAAACTATTACAATTTTTTTAAAAACACACAAGTACTAATATGTAGGAAACAAAATTTTGCGAGTTAATAGTTTTATCATTTTTTCTTACACAGTAATCGAGAGAAACAAATTATGTAGGCCGCATATGCGTTGCCCTTCGAATGTTCAATAATAAAGGCCATAGCAAATTGATGTATGGACTCCCCTCACCTCGCGTCGTTGGGACTTTACCAACTTTTTCTGCATCTCTTCGATAAAAACGAGAAACTCTATACACTTTTACAAATCGAAATAAACTGCACCTCTGTGATAAGATTTTTGGTAGGATATCACTAATAAGGAAGATAGGTACGTGTAAGTTTTCGATAATCTAACTGTTGAAACATTTAAATAACCTTACTTGTTCTTATCAGATAAAAGAGCACAATGCGATCAGATTTTGAAAGATAAAAACATTCACTCGTGCGCAGCATTTACAAAGGGTCGGATATAAATATATAATACCTAAATGGTTAACTATCAGTATCATTTTTATTGCGATTTGTAGTAGACTTAAAGAAAAACTAAACAACTGCAAATACCCAGACGGCATTTAATAATGGGCATATCTCCTTATACAGTTTGCCGTCTCACTTAAAAACTTTAGTGTCGCTTAATTCACCATGGTCGCTATTGAGAAGTTTTTTGTAAGGTATTCGGCTCATAATAATACATACAAATTCCACTTTCCGATGACTGCATAATACATACCACCCTTCAATAGAGCAACAAAATTGAAACATATTGACAATAATATGCGTATTAATGCCCCAACAACAATATCCCCTACAATAAATTTATAATTTTGAATCCAGTCATTTTATACTTTTCCAACGTAAAGTGAGTAATTAAAACAAATTTTTACCTTATTGCAAAGGTGTTAAGTTAATTCAAATTAATTCTATATTTTTATAAAAATCCCATCAAACGAAGTCAAACACATTCCATAGCTATTAAAAAAAATATGTGGAGAAGTTGACAAAGTTGAACTGAGTAAATTTAAATAATAATGTATGTTTAAATTTCTGAATTCCAATTTTTGCTTGTGAATCCAATTACTAAATGACCACAAAATTTACAAGCTTTTTAAATAAGGAGACTTAATATTAAGAAGAAGAAGAGGGTTTTTAACAGTGTCGCCAACATTTGTCGCCCACATAGATTTGACATTTGACTTGACAGTATACTGTCAAATTGATGGTCGCCAATCATTTTGTTATTTATTACCTAACCTTATTTAATTTTTAAGCTTAATGATACATGAATCTATTTTAAAATATGCCGTTTATGAAAGGACCTTCTCCTATTAGGAGAACTATTAAATATCTGGAAGCAGGACGACTAATATTTAAAGATCAACTGAAAATTTTTACAGTGAATTACAATGTAATAGGAAGCAATCATGCAGGAACAAAGTAAGGGAAATTTGTCGATTTTCAGCTTCGTAATTATTAATAATTCATGTATTTTTAGAGACTTCGTATTTTGGCACTTACCTCAAATTCAATATAAGAATCCCAGTGTTCAAGTTTTGACATTAAAAAATCTAACGCCAACTCCATTTATAAGGTGTTTTTATGGTATGTCGAGCAATTCACTAGTGCGAAATGTGAAAATCATTAATGTCAGATATTATTTTTTACAGAAACAGGTCATCAAATGCTTATCGATGTAGACAATAGATCAAAAGAAGAGATTTATGAACATTTAATCAATGTAGTAGGGAAGACAGGGTAAGATTTATCCAATACGAAATTAATGTAAAGAAAATATTCCTTAAACATACAAATAATAGTTTTGTTTAGATGGTTTAATTTAATATGTATTAAATAAATATCTGATATTTCAGCAAAGTTCTGGAAGCTGAAATAATTGCAAAAGAGAAAAAAGACAACCCAGCTAATTTTGGAGTTTTATGCGACAGGCATTGTATATGTGAAATTCCGGGGCAAGTTCCATGCTCCGGAACATGTCTATTACCTAAATCTTGGCGTGGTAAATATAAATTCAACAAAGCAGAATACTAAGGTTTCGAAATATGTAACTGTAAATAAAATTTATAACTACAATTTTCATTCTTTTAATTAAATATGTATATAGTTACGTTTTTCATTTCTAATCATGAATGCTGCTTTTGGGAACATTTCGTTTATTCCATTTATTATTTCCATGAGTTTAAACTGTTGAAACAAAAAGCGATATAGAATTATCATTAGCAGAACACGATTTAGTCATTATTGTCAACTGATCAACTGCAATTTAGAATAAATGAAATTTAATGAGACCATGATAAATCAAAAATACAGCAAATGAGTAAAAATGATCCAAATTTTAAGTACATAACAGGTAGAAGAAAGTAGGAAATAATATAGAGTTGTACTACATTTTCATTATCAGTATGTCTGATAGCCATCAAAATAATATAAAAAATCTACAACTTGTATCGTAACATTTTTATGAATCATTATTTTCTTTATCATGTATTTCACAACTTATGATAATATAACCTGTTCATAAAATTTGACAATAAAATATTTTAAATGATTTTTACAACTACTATTAAAATGTAAATATATTTTTAATTTTTCAAAAATATTCTTAGTACCGATTTCCTGTTCTGATTTTATCTCAAAAATTGAATATAAAATAAATAAAATGAGGAGATATATTAGTTGTATAATTATATTTTTTTTAATTTTAAAAGCTTATAAGTATTATGTATAGGTATAATCACTGCTTTACGAAAAAAATAAATTAAAAGAATTGAATCTTAATTTTTATCAGTATTATCATTTGTCAAAAGAAAATAATAATTTTACAAATTATAATTTAATTTTAGAAATAAAATGTTAGTTAAATGTACTTACATCAAATAGTCTATAACAACCCATATTTTTAAGGTATAAGAGACTAATGTTCAAGTTGTTCATAAGAAATCTAGATAAGAACATTCTCAACAGATTTAGAGTGTTTTTTTTTACATCTTTGAGAATTTAAAATTTATATTATCTGGTCTGAAATTTGTAAATGATTTGAATATAAAATCTATTAAACGGAAATTTATACAATGTATTATGTATCATACTGTAAAGGTGAAACGTGGCCTGTCTGGTTCTCAGATTATTAAGTTTTACTTTGAAAATCGGTGACAGATAAACAGGAAGGCACAGATAATATAATCTCAGAGTACTATTAATAAAAAAGTTTATGATTTAAGTATACAAAATGAGATCGTATTAAAGATTTATTGCATTCTTTTGGCAAATAAGTTCAATTCAATTTTTAACAGGCAATTTTCTGGCAAACTCGATTTTTTTACAAAATGTCAACATACTGTAAAGAAACTCAAATGTCCTAGTAATGATCAATCAAATAAACTGCCTATCGCATATTTAAAATATGTAACAGACTGGCCATTTAATCCTTGAGTGACGGGTAACAACTGTAATAGACACGTTATCTAGTATTTGAACGAGATAATATTCACTTTGTGGTTCCTAATGTTAAAGTCTGTAGATGCTGATAAATAGGAATACCTACCAGAAACTTGAACTGATCTGTTGGAACGCGGTTTGTGGTGGGCTGTGTAACTGATTCGAGTGATCATCCGGAACAGGTTCGTCCAATTGGTTCGAGTCTACATTACGCTAAAGCCGACTGCTGGGCTGTACTCGAATTGGGTTTGAGAATTTTAAAAAGCAATTCCATTTTATATCGACGGACTTGGTTCGTACCGCAATTCGTAGTGGTAAAATGTAATTAGTATCTATTGTATGGCCTTATCGAGCCTCTTAAAATAACTTAAATAATTTTGAATGATATTTGAAGACTTCTAAGTACAGATTTGTGTAATACGTCACCGTTGGTACAAAATATATTATAGTACTTGCATGACTAAATTATTTATTTAGAACACGCCATCCAACGGTTGAAAGGAATTAATTATAGAATGGAAAACTACAATGTATACAAAAAAGCTAAATACTACAAAATATTTATTGTTAACATGGGTGAATTAGTACAAATTTTGTTTAATTATGTAAACGATAATCATAAAAACAAAATTGTGATAATTACAAAAATAAAATTATATATTTCTTAATAAAGTATAGTAACGGTCAAATAAAATAGGAGTCCAGTAATTTCCATTGTCCAGTCCAGTTCATGAATTACAAAGGAAACTAGTCCGGCCCGACTAGACATTTGGACTCGTTTAGTCTCAGTTCTCCTCAGTGCCTATTGCAAGCATTAAACTGGACTGGACTGGACTGGATACTAGAACTGGAACTGGATTAGTTGAAACTGATCCATAAAATTCATCAATTCAGCCATCCCTAACGATAAAGTACGTGCCATTTTAGAGCAAAATCCCTATTACTAAATCTTGACATATGAATTATTAATATTCCATACATTTCTAGAAAATTAATTTTCATATATTTAATAAATAACATATCGTCACGCTGAACCACCATGGGGCAACAAAATCATTGATTTCAGTACTTAGCCAATCTAGGGACTGTAATGTAACTATCAAAATTATTATGATTGAGCTGTAATAAATACGAAATTTATAAAATTTTGTATATTGTGGCCTTACCAGAGTTCCACCAGACAAAAAATATGAGATGACATAATTGGCAGTTGTATTCAAAGCTAATATATTATTTTATAGTTCAAATAATGTGCATTAAAGTCCCTAGATATTGATAAAGTACCGCAATCAACTGCTATTTCACAGAATCGCTATCGCCAATTTCGGAATTTAAGTTTAAACTTCTAAAACAATTTTATGCAATTAATTAATTTTCAAATACTTTGTTCAGTTTATTACATAATAATCCAATAATGTCTTGATCAAAAATATTATAATTAAATTTTAACCATTTTTTTTATACAAATAGTGCTAATTGACACGTCAAACCACCATTGTGGGATAAGTGACAATTGGTTGAAATGCTTAATCAATCTACAGATTTTATTTGGAAATTGTAACTTCTTCAAAATTAAAATCCTAGCCTGCTAGTTAGTTTTTATTTTAAGCAACAGTTTTTGAAAAATAGTATTCTTTTAAATTAGGAATCTAATTCATCCTGAAAAAGCCTGTAAACCATATTATTATCAATTATTTTAATAAGATTAAATTTTTCTGTAAAATACATATACCTAGAAAACGTGACATTTTAGTTCTGCATGAACATAAAAGAATATTTGAACTGTACTTTTAGTCTTTCCGAAGTCACTTGAACATGTATAAAAACACCTAGCAAGAAAATTTAATTAGTTTCATAGTACCAAATATTTTAGGGGGTGGTTGCCGGTTATTTTGAAAAAAAAGTTCATATAAACGTAGGTCAAAATATGCTTTGTTTCCCATATACAGTGTTTGAATTTTAATTTTTTATTTATTTCAAAGATATTGACTCGAAATTTGAAAAATGCTTTGGAGGCATAAATGTGCATTTTTTGGGGTGGTCCGAATATTTCTACTTGCACCAAGTGGCATACGTGCGAAAATGCCACACACGTTTTAAGTAAAAAAAATGGTATGCCAGATTTCCCGTTTTGATATTTTTTAAAAAATCTGCCATCACTTCTGAATGAAATTGGTCTCTTCAATTTTTTTCCTAGGATGCACCATTTTTTAAGAAAAAGAAAACATATTTTAGGTATTGCAAGTTGTGTATTTTTAATTTCTATTGATACATTATCTAGTAGATTGCTGTCAATATTTCTAAATAAAATACAACCATCAAATTTCGAGTCAATACCTCTAAAACTCTTGAAATAATTAATAAAAATAAATAAAAAATTAAAATTTCACAAAATAACTTCAGCAACCACCCCCTAAAATATTTCTATTTACAAACACCCTGTATAATGTGTAGAAAATTTCTATTATACGTTCCTTTGACCAACATATTTCAATTATTTATGTCCTCAAACAATTTTATTATAATGATGGTAAATTTCGGTTTGTTTCGTTTCAAAAGGTCTCCAAAATGCCATGTTGTAAAATGAGCATTCACGCCAAATCGACCACTTTTAACCCCGACCCCTTTCGATTTGGCTGAAATTTTTTTATTGTTTTCTATCCCATTGAAAACCTCTAAAAATTTTTTCAAATTTTTTCACGCAACTCAAAAAGTTATAAAATTTTGAAAAAAAATAGATCAAAATCATCTGGACCTATCTTCACTGTTTTTTTCTGAATTTTCGAAAAAAAAAATAAATTTCACGATTACCATTTTTGAATTTTTTTTGCATTTATAAAAAACTTAATTTTTTTTTTAAATCCTCAAATTTCTTCAGTGGTGTTTTTTCGTTTTCTATTTTTATTTATTGATTGAAAAACTTTTTTTTTCAAATTTAGCTTATTTCAAAATGGTGTTATGTGAAATAAGCTAAAGGATCTCTCACAAATCAAACGGAAATTGGCTTCTGGTTCCTTTCGGTGTCCAGATCAAAAGTCTCCATGGGCACAAAGCTCGAAAATCTTCCCTGCGAGCAGTACTCAGCTTGGAGGTTAGAGACCAGTAATCCCCGATTTTTGCCAATTTCACCTCTACCCTTGCATTTTCGGGATATATATATATACAGGGTTCGTAGAGGCCGGGAAAACCGGGAAAAGTCAGGAAATTTGTTATTCTTCATAATAAACAGGGAATAGTCAGGGAATTTTTAAAATTCACGAGTCAGGGAATTTGATGTTTGGAACTGGAAATTTTGTAAAAGCTGGCCCTGGGTTCTTGAAAGAGAAAACTATTTGTGGTTTTGAAACCTTTATGAGGTTGTTATGGTATAACAAAGATAGAGTCCAGTCGAGAAAACATTTAATGCATAAACACCAATTAGTATGTAAAAATGAACTACAAGTGACCTGGATTTTTTTTATGTCAGGGAATTCTTTATTACTTTTGAACTATGAACCCTGATATATATCTTCATATATATCCCGAAAATGCAGGGGTAGAGGTAAAATCAGCGAAAATCGGGGATTACCAGTCTCTAACCTTCTAAGCTGGGTACTGCTCGCAGGGAAGATTTTCGAGCTTCGTGCCCGTGGAGACTTTTGATCTGGACACCGAAAGAAACAACATATCCAAAATTCGGCCGATTTCACTGAAAGCCAATTTCCGTTTGATTTAACTCCTTTGAAAAGAAAATTTTTTTCAATCAATAAATAAAAATAGGAAACGAAAAAACATCACTGAAAAAATTTGAGGATTTATAAAAAATGTTTTTTATTGAAAAAAAAAATTTCAAAAATGGAAATCGTGAAATTTCCGTTTTTTCTCGAAAATTGAAAAAAAAAACAGTGAAGATAGGTCCAGATAATTTTGATCTATTTTTTTTCAAAAAGTACATCTAAAAGCAAAAGTTTTGAAAAAAAAAACGTCCCGATATCTCAATTTTTAAAAAGTTATGGTTATTTTAAAAAAAATTCATCTTTTTTTGAGTTGGGTGTAAAAATTTGAAAAGGTTTTCAATGGGGTAGAAAATAATAAAAAAGTTTCAGCAAAATTGAAAGGGGTCAAGGTTAAAAGTGGTCAATTTGGCATGGAATGCCTCAATAATATTAATAAACAAAATATCCTTCTTATTTCTCCCTTTCGCAATTGTAATATGAATGATTAATAGAAGGTGCCTGTATTAAATTAAAATTACCTGAATCACACATTCCGCATTGCTGCACTGCACTGCTAGGCCATTTGGTGACAACTGAATTTATGGCCAGGTCGCTCAGTGNGATTTAATTATGCCTCAATATTGACGCCTGTTTGGCAATTTTAACGGACATTGAAATTTCAATATAACTGTGGTAAAAGGCAAAATTCCATAGTGAAATATAAAGTTAAAAAAGTTAAGATAAAAAAAGTAAAGCGGAATCTATATTAAATGATATAAATAAATCTTCATTACGTAAGAAATAATAGCGTTTTGTATTTAGCGCGCATTTAGTAGAAGAGTACCTACGAGTCAACCAAGATAAGCATTGTAAATATAATGCATCCCAATAGCTGGCTGTACGGCATGCAATGTTGCCACATCAATTGAGTTTGTAATATGCTTGATTCGGATAAAATATACAGTAAACGTATACTACAATTCTCCATCAAGCGGCAGAATCGTGAACTAAAATATACATTTTTGATCATATTCCTAACATTACCACCTCATGTAAATTTTTTTGTATCGGCCTATTAGAACTCTAACTCTTGAATAAAAGAAAACTATAATATTTAACCTTATGCAACTTTAATGGGAGCTTCACGCACAGTCAACTAAACCTAAATAATGTTGATACATACGAAGAAAACAGGGTTGACATTAAGGCTCAGATATACTGGTGCCCTAAATCGCCTGAGGCCTTTATGTATGGGCGATGCATGCTATCTGAGGCGCTAAAGATAGTAGGATATATATATATATATATATACAGGGTTCGTAGCGGCCGGGAAAACTGGGAAAGAAGTCAGGAAATTTGTTATTCTTCATAAAAAACAGGGAATAGTCAGGGAATTTTAAAAATTCACGAGTCAGGGAATTTGATGTTTGGAACTGGAAATTTTGTGAAAGCCGGCCCTGGGTTCTTGAAAGAGAAAACTATTTGTGGTTTTGAAACCTTTATGAGGTTGTTAAGGTATAAAAAAGATCATGGAGTCCAGTCGAGAAAACATTTAATGCATAAACACCAATTAGTATGTAAAAATTAACTACAAGTGACCTGGATTTTTTTTATGTCAGGGAAAACCTGGAGAAGTCAGGGAATTCTTTATTACTTTTGAACTATGAACCCTGATATATATCTTCATATATATTCCGAAAATGCAGGGATAGAGGTAAAATCAGCGAAAATCGGGGATTACCAATCTCTAACCTTCCAAGCTGGGTACTGCTCGCAGGGAAGATTTTCGAGCTTCGTGCCCGTGGAGACTTTTGATCTGGACATCGAAAGAAACAACATATCCAAAATTCGGCCGATTTCACCGAAAGCCAATTTCCGTTTGATTTACGAGTCCTTTGAAAAGACAAATTTTTTCAATCAATAAATAAAAATAGAAAACGAAAAAATTTGAGGATTTATAAAAAATGTTTTTTATTGAAAAAAAAAATTTCAAAAATGGTAATCATGAAATTTCCGTTTTTTCTCGAAAATTGAAAAAAAAAAACAGTGAAGATAGGTCCAGATAATTTTGATCTATTTTTTTTCAAAAAGTACATCTAAAAGCAAAAATTTTGAAAAAAAATGTCCCGATATCTCAATTTTTGAAAAAGTTATGGTTATTTTAAAAAAATTCATAACTTTTTTTGAGTTGGGTGTAAAAATTTGAAAAGGTTTTCAATGGGGTAGAAAACAATAAAAAAGTTTCAGCAAAATTGAAAGGGGTCAAGGTTAAAAGTGGTCAATTTGGCGTAGAAATGTCCCAATAATATTAATAAACAAAATATCCTTCTTATTTCTCCCTTTCGCGATTGTAATATGAATGATTAATAGAAGGTGCCTGTAATAAATTAAAATTACCTGAATCACACATTCCGCATTGCTGCACTGCACTGCTAGGCCATTTGGTGACAACTGAATTTATGGCCAGGTCGCTCAGTGCAGCTGTTTGTGCCGTGTTTGCCCGTGTGCTCATTCTTCAACTGGACGACCAGATCTGTATATGGGTATGGCTAAATAAATATGGGAACAAGTTTTTCAAATATTTCATTGCCGAGTTGCTGCGTCAGCGACCAAATTTGATACATACTGCCAACCTTTTGGTTCTTGAATTGGAAAGACTGTACCAACTATGTTAATGGCCTCTACACCTATAAGTTGATACATCCTGTATATGTTCCCTTTATTTTGATAAAACTGAAATTGAGGGGGTGGGAAATAAATCAATGTATTATAATATATAACTTTAATATTTTGAATAATAATAATATTAATAAAATGATATTTATATAAATTGTTATTTTCTATAATAAAAAAAATCACACATATACCATCTCTTTGGAAATTATTATAAAAGAGCAATATAGCTTGTGGTTTACATAAAGGCATTATATGCAAATAATATAGAAACGAAAAGAACTGCAAATAATAAATGATCGGTTAATTATAATAAATTTGCCCTATCTAGATATACAAATTAACAAAAAAAAAAAGTTATTTATATAAAACAGTCTTTAATTGCACCAAATAATAAACACAATATAAACAAAAAAAATTTACGAACATTTAGAGATATTTTACTAATGTATGTTTAGTATAAAATCTTAAAACCTTCTGTGTGCAAATTTAAATAAAAAGAACGGTACAAAAACATTTCCACTATTAGACAAAACAGAGATAACAATTATTTTAATACTTAATCCTAATACCATATAAAAATTTCTTTAGTTACGTTTATGCAGATACTGTTTTAAAATTATTTCCTATATAATGTACAGTGTGCCAAAGAAATGCACTGGATTAGATTTTAAAATCTTGCAACCTTGTACAAACATAAAAGTTAGTCATCATTCCTCAAATATTACATAAAATATAACTATATCTGAATTCCATGTACGTGTAGTTATCCTTTAATTAAAAATAATAATACAACCCTTATTTTGAAAGTTATAAGAATGAATTAGTAGTAGATTAGTTATATTTATGAATATGAACGTATGTTAGAACTAATTATCACAATAAAAAATATACCTACAACCAACATAATGATAAGGCCAATTATTGAAAAATAACAAATATTTGCCGATGAGGTTTCAAGATTTTAAAATGTATACGATTTATACACTCAACTTATTTAAAGGAAAGTGAGCAAAAATTGAGAATTAACTGAAAATATTATAATCTATGTTTTGCACTTTCATTATAAAACAGCTCCTTATTCCCAAACTTCCAAGACTAGTATAAAAATGGTTATTTAATTCCTTAATTATCACTCTAATTTGTCTAATAACATAGGCTCACGAGTGCTACATGCTGTATTGCATTAAAAATTTATCAAGGGTTTCTTTATGCAGTTTTGATATATGTACAAAAAAACTGCATGTTTAAAATTTGCCACAGATCAAATTTTAATCATGCCTGAATGCTTAATAATTATTATTACACTAGATTTTTTTGGACTTATCTACATTTAGTGAGCATTTACTTCACTAACGTACTTGGTTGGCACCAACTTATTAAATGCATATTTCTCACAAAAGGTTCTTCTATCGACTGACCTCCTTGAATATTTTTTTTGTTTTACCTTGCCTTAGTTCTGTTAATTTTATTGCTATCTCCAATAGTCTAAGAGGATTAAAGGAATCGAAAAATAAATATGTGTTTTGTACTTAAAATTTCGTCCTTGCAATGTCAATCTCCCGCTAATTTTTAGTCAAATCTAAATATGTACAATTTTAATATATCACTGTTAGTAGAAACTGCAGTAGCACCATTTATTTTTTATGTAAAAAAAATTAAAATTGTCTTTTTTATCTTGTCACCGATTAAACAATATTGACAGTGCAAGGGATGGAAATCCCAATTCTAGAAATTTTCACGACTATCATAACACGGTTTCGATCATTATTAAATATACTTTAGCATTTGATTTGCAATGGTCTAAAATGAAAGTTTATTTAAAAAATTAAACTGATTCCTCCACAACGGCTTGGCTGACCAAAAGAAATTTGTTCGAGAGAGTCATCCCTTACGTACGTGACATCGAACTGTTTTAAATTATTCCAACGTTACCAATTCGCCATGCCGGGTTTGTTGAGGGTCATGAAATAAATTTGACAAGAAGACCCACTCTTAGCACTAGAAAAGAAGACCTTGTCGTTTCGTTCGCACAAAAACTTTAACCTCTGAGCCTTTTTATGCATAAATACTCCGTCTAAATGTCCTGATTCCACCGAACGTATCTCTATGGCCTTATTACCCCAACCCATTATCTGGCCTGTGCCTATGTATGCTACCGATGTTGGCATTTCACCCCACTAGAAGAAAATAATTAACACAATGTAAACAAAAAAATATTACCATGTGTGTTAATGTTGGAAATAAGCGAATGTTTTAATTAAAAAGTTTTGACTGCTGACCAAACAGCACAATAGCATTATACAGCGTAATTAATTAAGGCCCGGTATTTTGAGTCTCGGTTAAACCTTGGTTAACTAATCACATAATTAGACTGAACATAATATACTGATTTATTTTAAAATAGTTTATTCACAGTCTAATCGCCTGATTAGTTAATCAAGTCTTAATCGAGACTCAAAGTACCGGGCCTAAGACCAGCAATAATTTAAAGGGAGGTCTATGATGTTCTAGACCAGGGGTCAACAACTGGCGGACCGCGGACCAGGTGCGGACCGCGGAAGGTAAAATACTGGACCGCCAAAAACTTTTTGAAAGTATAAAATTATTTAAATAAATTATTTAAAAAATGTTTTTTTTTTACGTTTGAGTGCCCGCCTTATAATTTTTTCTAGTATTTTACAATTGTGTGAGTGTTTTCAGTTCTTAATGGTTAGTAATCAGATTAAATTTAAGTCCAAATTAAAATAAAAAATTTGTAAGAAATATGAATTTTTTTTCTGGACCTCGTTAAAAATTTTCAAAAGTATCCGGACCCCACCTAAAATTACTTGCCGACCTCTGTTCTAGACCAACTATAAAATATCAAGTCCTGCATCTTAATTCCCAATACAATGCCTGTGAAATACTATTTGATAGCAGTCAGGTGATAGGATCACATAGCGACTCATCAAGCAAGTTTCCTTGTCATTCTCACTTGTTTCAACAAGTTAACATGTTAAATAAGATCGTGATATGAAAGAATAACAGTTGCAACTCTTACTCCTCATGAATGTCATGCTATATAGAATAGAGATGTGCCGCAGACATGTCAATTGGACATGTCCATCGGACATGTCGTGAAAAGTGGACATGTCCTGAGGACACTTTTCAAGATTGAAAAGTTCTATGTGCATATGCGGAATTATTTGTTGCATTCATAATTCTCGAAAAAAATTTTTGAGGTCGGTACATGTAAAATTAACGATATTTAGCCATTTTCTCGTAATTTTGTTGGTAATTGTTTAATAGAAACTGACATTTTAAAAATATAACCTCTTTTATATGTCCATATTTTATTATTTTTGGCAAAGTTAACGGTTAGTAAATAGTAACCAGTTGATTCTTAATTTAATATTTAATACACAAATAGTTTATAAATGAAGTATGACGCCAAAATCAAGTTTGTTTATATTTTTCTGAATTGAGTAAAAATCATTATAAATGTAACTTCTGCTTAAAAACAATTTTTAAGAATTCCAGTAGGATGGAAAAATAATTTCATATAATTTTAAGTTTTATATTAGACAAAAACGAGGCATTCTGATAAAAAATTAATCAAAAATATAATAAACAATAAATAACAATTAAAAAGACACATATTCATTAGAATAAACTGCTTTGTGTATCCTCAAGCAGTGACCTGTGAAAACATGATGTCACTCATAGGTACCTTATTAGATTCAAGGTCAAAAGTACTTTTCCCGACATGTCCGAACTTTTCATCGACATGTCCAATGGACATGTCCGTAACACACTTTTCCGAAAAGTGCCCACCTCTGATATAGAATAATGTAAGTGCGAATGAAGAGGGGTATTCACTTGAATTTTCGGGTAGACGTATACCAAACCCAGAAATGCTTTTACAAAATGTCTAAAGACATTGTGACTACATGATCAGCCCATGGAAGTACCACCGTACATTATGTGGCAATTGACGAAAAAATTCTACAACTATACTTCAGTGGCAAAATAGTAGGCAGTGACTCATTTTCAACATGTAGATCCTTTCTATGTGTAAGACAGGTAGGGAATGCAATTCTACAGACGTATTATTTTAGAGGGTTCCATATAATGTTAAATACAGAGTATAATTTTAAGTGGAGGTCAGTATTTTAGGGGTGTTTCCCTGAATACGAATCTCTTTAATCAAATAGGTAGTCAAGTTATAATTAGTTTTTTAAAATGCAGTTTAATTCTTGCGTAAGCCGCCACTGTAATATTCATGTATTACATATACATGAATTACAGGCAACCTACACTGCATGTGAAGGGAGATAGTGTAGGTCAAAGGTGACGAAGCGTAGGGGGTCAGTTGTTCGACATTTGGAAACAGTACATGTAATTGTGAATTTGAATGTTTTAATTTAAGTTTTTTCTTGCCACGTTTTTAACTTTCTTACATTATCACCACTCTTTAACGCATGACAGACTTTTGTTAAAAGAACTGTACATTTCCACGGCGCCACCTGCTGACGCATCCATATTTGGTGATCGAATTCTCTACGGAACACTATGCGAAATGAATGGCACATTATAATTTCCATACAGAGAATACACATAATTATTTTGTAACATTAGGAAATAGTAAAAATTGTGGTTTATATGTGATTCTACTACCTATTATTTTGACACTGGAGTATAGTAGAAAAAAATCCTTCGCTGGACATCCGAGAAATTGCCTGTCGGTTGAAGCTATCACAAAACATGATGTGGAGAATTTTATACGAAAATGACTCAACCATACAATTATCGTAGTGAACAAGTTCTACCTGGGTATTTTGTATTTCGCAAAAGAATTTTGTGATTGGACGTTGAAATGTATCAACAAGACAAGACACGAAAAAACGTAAAAACAGTAAAAAAAAACTGGAAAACGGCCAAAACAAAATTTGCATTTCAAAAATAGTCCAATTTTTTTTTTTGGGAATTTTAACGTATCTCCTAAACAAAGGTTTTAAAAGAGAATTTCTATAAAAAAATTTTTTTAAATTTGGACAAGGAAACAGCTTCATTTTTAATACTTTGTTACACCCACGTAATTTGAAACTTATGATAAACGATAACTTACCTGGAGCAACATATTCTTAGATATCCTACCATACGTGTTCACATATACACCTTCATTATCGTAACAAAGTAAGAGCTGCATTCCATTACTATTTGGTAAAGTAACTATACAGTGTGGACTAATTCCATTTTGTGTCTGTAAAAAACCAAAGGTACATTTACGGTAAAATTATGTAAACATGTATTACTGACGTGTTTGGGTAAGTAGATATCGTAAACGCTAGCCGAGTCCAAGTCAACGGCATGGAATCCATCACTGCTCCCATAGATCACCTTAAGTCTCGTGCCTTCCTCGACTGTCAAATCGACCAGGAGCGGGCGATATGTCAAATCACAGAACGACTTGAAAGCCATGAATTTGTGGTAGGGCTTGGGTGCCCACGCGTAAATTTCAATACTGTCTTTTAAGGCTATCACCAGGAACTTTATTCTCTCGTATTTTACTATCTTGAAGTGGACCGCCCCTTGAAGATCACCTACGTTTATCCATCCGTTTCTTCGTTCTACTTGCTGCAAGAAAAAACAAAAAGTAATATGAAGAAATTATGTTGAAAAATACGTAGAAATGTTCAGAAAATATATCCGGCCGGACCGGATAATCGAGGTTCTACTGTATATGGCTTTACCGTTTTTTAAATTATTCTCCATGAAGATCAATATACTTTTGCAAGTGCTTGAACCAATTTTCGAAGCCCTTTTTCATTTCGATTGAAGTACCTCCAAAACATGCTTCATCAACAGCTTCTTCAGGTGTCAGAAAATGTTAACCCCGTAACTTATTTATGATGTGGTAATAAAACAAAATCATTGGGTACTAAATCAAGGCTGTGCTGCGAGTAACTCATTAATTCGAGCTTTTTCTATGTTTTCGATTTAATTCCATTTTCTTGCCGAGACAAATTCTTCAAGTTACTGTAAACAACACAAATAATGCCTGTAAGTCAAAACGTTCCAAGTAACTACACTGAGAGAGTCAAACTTTACGATAGAGATGTTGGTTGTCAGTGATGGCAGCACTAGGATCGTCCATTCCCAAAATATAAAAGGCAACCCTCATAACACCCTCAGCTCAGTATTTATAATTCACCCTTAATGTTAAGACTTTATTGGAGCCCATGTTAAAAAGAAAGCAGAGGAACTAAATTACAAGGAAATGTAATAACTACTTGGTAGATGCTCAAATCTCTCAATTTACAACCAATTATTTCTGTATAAATATATTCTTAAACCAGTTTGTCATAAAGAGTTCAATCTAAGGTTGTGCCAGCAAAAGTTATAGGCAAATAATTCCGTATTTTTCAAACAAGGTACTAAAGAACATTGTTGAAGCTCCTCGGTACTTCATAAACAGTGGCTTTTATCGAGATCTTGAAATGTATACTGTTGACCAGATTATCCCCAAATCTGCAAAGTCAAGAACAACGACTACTACAACACATGAATGTCGACCAACAGACAGTCAGAAGCCTTACAAGAAGCCTAAAGAGGATGAAACAGTTGTACATAAACCACTAGAATATAAGAAACACTAATGAATAATGTCTAATGTCATACAACCAAAAGATGAAAAATCAAAATTTGTAACTGTGAGTCTTCTACAGAGAGATCGAGAATGATTGACCGGATTCTGAACGTACCCTGTCTCAATTGCTATCAAAACTGATTTCCGCTTGCTAAAATTACTTTTTTTCCCGTGCGATTTCATGGTGTTCTGTGGCGATTTTACAATTTGACGTTCTGTTCATTGGCGCACGGATTTTTTGGCTTGAATATTATTTTGTAGATTTTGTTGTTACCTGATATATTTTGCGACATTATAAAACAGTATTTTTCAATACTACAGTTAGAGTAGGTGGATATTATACGTGAGTAATTAATTTATTGCGTATGTTGTTCTCTAACCTAATCGGTTTTTTAATTTAGGTTAACATGGCATTTTCATTAGAACATGATAAATTTCTTCTGGAGGCCTATTTTCGTAGTGGACAAAACAATGGTAATGGTTGGAAATATTCGATGAATTCGTGTCATTTACAATTTCAAGAACAATTTCCAAATGATGAAATTGATTATGAAATTTTTTCGAGACACGTGAAGAGATTAGTGGAACGCTTCCATAACACTGGAAGTGTTTGTAGAGGAAAATCTCCAGGCAGAAAGTCTATTCTTACAGAGGAAGTCTTGGAAGATGTTGAAAACCGCTTACGAGCTAGTCCAACCAAATCACTACGTCGGTTATCTGCTCAAACAGGTACTTAATAACAAATATTTATTCTAAAATTTGTATCATTATTCCTAAATTGTTTATAGGAATATCATATGGATCATGCCATAAAGCAGTAAAGAAGTTGCATTTTCATCCTTATAAAGTTAGTGTTGTGCAGGAACTACTTCCGTTAGATTTTGGAAAACGTGTGCAATACTGTAATTGGTTTAACGAAAATCTGAATGACGACGATATTCTAGATCTAACATTTTTTTCTGATGAAGCGTGGTTTCATTTAAGTGGGTACGTAAACTCCCAAAATTATCGCTCTTGGAACACAGAAAACCCTAATATTTTGCGTGAAACAACTCTGCACCCTATTAAACTTGGTGTTTGGGTAGCTATGTCACGTAGAAGAATAATCGGACCATATTTTTTCCGTGAAAATGTAACTGGGCAGGTATATCGGCAGCAAATATTGTTACCATTTTTTGAGGAACTTCACGACGATGAAATCCATCATGGATACTTTCAGCAAGATGGCGCAACAGCTCACACCTCTAACGAAACTTTAGAGTTGATTAGAGAGTATTATGATGATCGAATAATTAGTCGAGATAGATGGCCACCACGTTCTCCTGACCTTACACCCCTAGACTATTATTTATTTGGTTTTTTAAAAAATTCAGTATTTGCTCAACGGTTACACACGATTGAAGAACTTCAAGAGGCAATTACAAACGAAATTAGGAGTATTACACAAAATGTTTTACAGAATGTATTTAATAATATGAAAAGAAGAATTAATACCTGCTTGAACAACAATGGACATCATATTGAACATTTATTGTAAAAATATAGATATTTTTATGGATTTTATGTAATTTTAAGGTAAAATATTCAATAAAATGTGAAAAAATTCCAATTACTCTGTTATTATATATTGCATGTAACTGTTGTTTATTGCTCTCGGTCATACAAACAATCCTACCATCTAACATAATCAAGCACTTCCAACTGCTTGCATTTGCTTGAAGCAAATTTTTTTAAGACACTTCCTGAATTTCGACAGCTAACTAAAATGTTCAGCATAAAATTTTGGGATGGATCGCTTGCGCTGGATATTCAAAAGTGTGAAAGCAGTAGCTGCAAAATAGTCGTCTTATAACCATACAGCAGTTTGCTTTGATGAAAAACAGCAGCTTGCAGCGTATCGCTGTATAGCTAAATCGTCTTAGATGCCAAGAATGTAGCCACAATAGTGCTTCTCTTTTAAAATTAACTCAAAACTTTTTAAAAATAAAATCGCTGAAGCACTTACAGTCGTTATTCAAAATTAGCTACATCAAACTTTGATTTAAACGTTTTTCTAATTGTAAATGAAATAAGAATTTTGGAAAAGTTAGGCTAAACTTACATTTGATTCTGTCATCCTCTTTAATAATAATAACAATAATAACATTTATTGGTCCATCAGTATTGCTTAATTTGTGAAATAACTTTGATTTTTGTTAAATAATTGATATTTTTTATTATGAATTTCTATTTTGACAGTAACCTAATTTATTTGACGTTTGAACGTAATTATTTGTTTGCCATTAAAATCGCTCAACCTGCGCTCATGATTCTAGTATTGGTATCAAAAACTGGTATGCCGCACATCAAAAATCAGTATGAGGCGGCACGGTCAATCATTCTCGATCACCCTGTAGAATCCTTGTATGTTATAAAATTGTAGCTGTATAAGAATTTTAATTTTTATACTAGTGAAATATCTGCATTCCATATTACATGTTAACATTCAAATGAAAAACTTACATCGCTCATGCCATCCGTCCGTAAAATTTTACTCTTGAGCCAGCTGAGATAGTACACTCGAACCCGATTCTTTTTGCCTGAGATCGTAACGAGAATGTTCTGCCCTTCAAGCACTTCCATCTGCTGGAACCGCCTTCTTGAAATTAATTGATACACCTTTCCTTGTCCGCTTCTATCTAATAGCATCAGTCCATGTTCAGTACCAATGAGAAGATTTACGCCTAAAAATAAAACACAAAATGTTATTTAAAATGTTTGAAACGCTTCCGAGAACGTATCAGAAACGTGAAGTGGTACAATTTAAGCTTACCCCATAAGGCAGCACATAAAATCTCACTGTTGAATCTCTTCTTGTATTTCCTAATTTCCGGAGTATCGGATGATATGTCATGTGACGTTGGAGTAACGTTAACGTTTACATGTGATTCTCTCCTTGACGGGGCGGAGCTGGCTCCGAATCCGAATGCAAGGAAGGAACGTTGTTTCTGTTGTAAGGCAAGAGCGTTAGCATGTAAGTTATGAGTAGTAGACGGAGGGGTACTGTGGAACTGGAAAAAGAGAATTGTATATTAGACACTGTATTAACCGCATTATCATTTAGAAAACAAGAGTACTACATCATTAGTTCGATAATATTGAAAATTAATGCTTCGAACCTACTAGTAAATTAGCTAATATATTTTACTTATATGAAATAGTAATAAATATAATAAAACATACAATAACATGCTTTAATAAGGCAAGCATTAATATTTTTCTAACTTGAGACAAAACACAAATGTTGCAGTAATGAACGTTTATGACAGACACTACAAAAATATTAATTTTAAAACATTTTAAATTTAAATATATAGTTTAGAAGGCATTTTTGGAATTACCTATGTCAACAAATTAATTTCAAAATACCTACAGATTTTTAGGCAGGTCTTTAATGTATCTGAACATGTACATAAAAAACTATTTTGTTAACATTACTATTTATAAAAAATAAGGAAGTAATCTATAAAACTTAAAACTTAAATATACAAAATTGACATTTCCTAAAATATATAAATGATAAACCTGTTTAAATTTAAGAGAAACATGACTCATTAAATTTCAGAGATGTGAATTTAAATTTGGAAGGTAATAATTAGTACCTACCGATATTAATTGGCAAAAAATAGAGTCCTTTGCACTTTTAAAAAAAAGTTTAGTGTAGCAATGATTTAACAAGAAAAATGAGTATAAAACCAACTTACGTTCATTATAAAAAGTAATCATATGACAATTTAGGAAAAAAAACACACTTCATGTCAAGGTGTGCAAACTACTAATGCGCTGTAAACATTCCCACATCTATATATAAAAACCACTGTACTTTCATTTGGGCACTATTCCAAATATTTAATGAATCAAAGTTTTGATAACGAGTCAAATATTTTTTCCTGTGAAAATCGTAAATAAACAAGCACAAGCAACAAGCACACAAATTAAAAAGTGTTAGTTAAAATGGATATGATAAAATTAGTCTTTCCCGTTAGTTTTCCAAAACCAAAACAAAAATAAACAAACAAAAAAAAATGAGTTATGAATAGTGATAAATAACTACCATTCCACCATGTATTGCTACAACTTGCAGCTGTCAATGTCTTCCTTGCCTGCTAATCGGTCTGCATTTTTTCCTATTCCACTTCATAATTAAAATAACATACGGTTTTAAGCAAGAAATGCAAAATAAATGTGAAAAATATATGCCAAAAATAAAAAGTGTATATATGTATTAATACTGCTTAGTTAAAATAGGATTTTCCACATTAAACTTTAAAGTGAAATAGAGTAAAATTTTACATAGTACGTATACTGTGTGGCACAAAAGATACGCGCTCTACTAATTTTTTTTATGCATTCTAGATGTACTTCCTGAAATAATTACGCTGATCCAGTTGATAATCCACAGTCTGCCACAATTTTTTAGGAGCAATTTTTCAGAAAACCATTAATATTTTTTGTTATCTGCCTTTGTAGTCTTTATCAGCATCACTTAAAATCCCAGTATTTTTCATCAGTTTATAATGCAAAATAATTTATTTAAACAAGCTTAAAGTTTCAAGTTTACCAAGTTTCCCTTTTTGTTTATAAATATAGGGGTCTTTGGAAATACCTGAAGATGGAAAATTTGTCAATTACTGACTAGTGATTATATTTTCCACAATTTTAATTAACCTCACAGGATAGGATAATTTTTCATTCCAATATCCCCTGAATTTTTAAACAAAAATAAAAATATAAATTTAAGATTTTAAGCCTGTATAAAAATATATTTTGCATTGTAAATTGATGAAATTTGAGCTTTTCTATGAAGATTGGTTTAACAAAAACCTAGCGATTTTTTGAAAAAGTGCTTCTAAAAAAATCGCAACAGGATGTGCCTTATTAAATTATCATAATTAGTTTAACAAGTACATTTCGAAGACCACCATGTGTAAAAAAAATTTATTCGAATCATGCCTTAAAAAAAAAGAAAAAAAAAATAGAGGTGTTTCCTAGTTTTCAATGCATTTTTTGTTATCAAAATACATTACTGAAATATCAGCAGTTCGGTTATTAAGTTTTAAGACTTAATTTATTGTGGCGAAGTGTGTGGCGCTATCTCAATATCAAAATCAAAATTTCATCAATATCAGTGTATCTACCACGATTTGTGTGAAACGAGTTTTTGATAGTTACCATGGAAATGCACATTGAACAGTGTACAACAATCAAGTTGTGTTTTAAAGCCAGTAAAGCAGCTATGGAAACATATGAACTGTTACAATTGGCATATAGTGATTAGTGTGTATCACGTCCGACTGTATCCCTATGGTTCGGGAGGATTCATGATGGCCGAGACAGCATGCACGATGATGAGGGCAAAACATCAAAGCTGTACGCACTGCACTGAAGTCTGATCGTCAATCAACCATCAGAATATTGGCAGACCATATAGATACACATTAATAAAGAAACCATCCGTCAAATAATTACTGAAGATTTGGGCAAAAAAAAAGGTTTGTGCCCACTTTGTTCTGCATTCTTAGATGACTCAACAGAAGGAAGAGCACGAATCACACAGAAATGACCTAAAATTGTTGGAAAAAATCGTAACCAGTGATGAATCATGGTGTGGTGGTGTATGACTCTGAGACCAAAAGATAGAGTGCTGAATCAATAAGCCAGGGGTCTTCAAGTCCGAAAAATCATGTATGAAAACCATGTTGGTAATTTTTTCTGACTACCAGGGCATAATCTTTAAGGAATTCATTCCAGCTGGGCAAACGGTCAATGTTGAGTTTTATGAAGGTATGTTCGATTGTTTGTTAAAGAGAATCGAGAAAGTCTAAAACTGTACATATTCCTGGACTGGTTTCTGTTACACGATAATGCGCCAGCCCATAATACTGTCATTATTCAATAATTCTTGGCCCAAAAAAAAATAAAACGTTATTGTTTTACCACCCACGATATTCGTTGGATTTGGCAGCGGCCGACTATTTTTTATTCCCAAAAATCAAATTACATTTAAAAGGGAGCCGAATGAGGTACTAAGACTTTGCTAACTCACTAGAACGATTGGCAGATTGTGCCCATCTGTATGTGTACATAGAATAAAATAAAAATATTTTTACGTTTATTTTCTGACCTCAGTATTAAAACTTAATAGCCACACCACGTAGAAAATACTTTTTTGAATATATTTTGATTACTTATCAATTATTTTATGACAAACTTTCCTCAAATTTTATTGAAAATCAATCTAAATATTTTTCTAAATCACATTAACAAATTTTGTAATTCCACCTTTGATTAAAACCATGATATTTATTAGTTATTATTTTGTTAGTAAAATGTTTATAGATTAGGATATTGGACATATAATTTTTAACATATGTATTTACTCAATTTTTTATAAAAAATTCTCATAATATTTAACACAGAATTATTTTACAATTCGTAGGTAATAAAATTTGTCTTCATACTTTTTTATAACCAAGTTCAGTAAAAGCACAAATTTTCAAAGATTTTGAGGAAAAAATAAGGAATCTATGTCCAAATTTTATTAATGATTTACAAACACTGACAATTTTGAATTATAAAACTATTTTATGCTTGTAGGTACATATTATATCAATAAATTATTAATAATTTAAAAGCATTAGGGATTCCACTTCTGTTTTAAAGAATATTTCAGAAAAAATGACCGACTGCAAGTGGACTATTAACTCTACATCAATACATAGTGAAGTCGACACTACATAGACAACATTGATATTCATACTTACATTTATGTTACACGTTGTTATGGACGTCACTCGTTAGGCAAAAACCAAAGAGAAAGACATTAAAATTAGTGACAAACACATTGGACATATACGAGTATATCAACTAACAAATTCTAATTTATAATGAAATTAATTGTGTTGTGTTGTCTAAGTCTCTCTATGTGACGTAAAATACTTGTCGAATAATAATAACACATTATTAAAAATGACAAAATACACACGAGTTATCGGATATAAAATTTTATAATAACTCATCACTTTAAAATCTTGATTTAACATAGCTACAGATAAAGCAAATGGGGTAAAAGCAGACGATATGTGTGTATTTTCGAGTAATTACGAAAAGCTTTTGGGTTTTGCAATATGCATGTTAGACACAGTAAGTAGCATTTTTTATACACTTCTTAGGTTAAAATCAAAACTAAAAACTGCGGAAATAACTTGAAAACCATTTTTTCATAAACATTTTTCAAGTTATCAGCTTTTAGCAAATATTGGTTTCGTAATATGTTAAAGCTTCAAAAAACAAACGAAATCGTTTTTCATGAGAGTAGTAGTACCTCATACGAGTATACCTTAAAAAAATTTTATTTTACCATCGCCATATAATATTAATGTAATTAATATTGGTCCAAAAATTAAAGCTATTATTTAATTATATTCTACATATTGTAGTTTTAGAAATAAAATCAGGTTTTCGCATTGTTGACTTACTAAAATAAAATGTTATAAATATTAGTAAATTTTTAGTAGTTATGGACATCGTTTTAAATATTATGACCTACACTTGATTGCTTTAACCATTGGACTTTGTAAAATTATTAATAAACGATCATACATACCTCTTCGTTTGTCGATTTATCTCGAGCTGATGGGGTACCAGGACTGCCACTGGCTTGACTAAGGAGGTCAGGTAAAACACTACTTTGTCGCGAGTGATCACTACTTCTCCCGTTCTATAAAAGTTTAAAAAATGTATTCCGGTATTATGAATGTACCACACATTTTCATTTTTACTATAATTATGAAACTAAAACATGTCTGAAAATAGATGTATAACCTTTGTAGATTTTACTAATTGAAGGCCCTGAAATGTTTGTAATTTTTTTTTTTTTTTAGTAGGACAATATATCTAACGTCTAATACCTAACTAATAATAATTTCAATTATTTGGATTAATATAGAAAAGCATATAAAATAGTATATGAATCTAAAAAACAAAACTGTTATCACAGAAGAAACACAGAAATGTAACAACTATTGGTATCTTATATATTTTTTCAAGTAATAACCTAAAAAATGCACCAGTATACTATTATAGAAATAAAATAATTTATTTAAAAAAGTATATTGCTAGTAGCGCAAATACAAGATAAACAAGAGTCACGAAAACACAAATTTTGGGGGTGAATCTAACATATTTTGTTATATCGGGTGTCGCAAAATTCACGCAAGATTTAAATTTTGTGCCATTTGTGGTGTTACCAACGAAAAAAAGGCAGCGTGACAGCTGACAGTTTAGTGTTAAAAATGGAGCGCTACACGAAAGAACAACTTGTATTCGTTGTTGAACAATATTGAAGGTTTAGCAGTTACAGCTCGCGATTTTCGTACAAAATATGGTCCGAATAGTGATTTAACTTCATCAACTGTGAAGAGATTAATTGAAAAATTCATGGAGACTGGATCAATTACTGATCTTAAACGCTCTGGCTGTCCTTCAACACAAAACATCGAAGCAGTTCGTAAGTGTTGTTGCAAGTCGAGGAACATCAATTCTCAGGAAAGATCGACCGAAGAACTGAAGCCTACCGACTACACGGAGCGAAAAGAGTTTGTTGAATGGATTATGAAACTAGTGGATACTTATTTTTTGAACAAAATCATCTTCAGCGATGAGGCTGGTCGTATAATTTCCCATTTTGGTGACAAGAATTGGCCACCCAGATCATGTGATTTAATGCCGTTGGACTTTTTTCTTTAGGGTTTTTTGATGTCTAAGGCTTATGCCAGCAAAACAAGCTCACGACCATCCATGCCTCGAAGGAAGAAATTGAGCGCTGATCAACGAAATTCAGCCGTATTTATGCAAAACGATCATGGAAAATTTCGACAAAAGAGTGCATAGGTCCAGCAAAGCCGTAGTGGCCATTTACCCGATATGCTATTCCGTACGTAACCCTATACTATACCTTTATAAATCACTAAAACATTTACAATTTTTAATTAAAAACCTGTGTTTTCTATCAAAATGACTTCTTTCATGAATTTTGGGACATCCTTTAGTTTTCAATGGTGTTTATTAAACAGTGACATTAAAATAAATGTTACTTTTATATTAACTGTTCCAAAAAATGTGTTCATATAAAAATACTTTCCGAGATTTTCTACCTAAACCTCAATTTTATCAAGGACTTATGTATAAAAAGTCAGTTTAGACATTTTCGTCCATTTTTAATTTGTAAAAATAAATTTTATGATGTACTTATTAATTTTTTAAATGATGATATTGCAGTTTCGACATTTCTTGACACAATTTTTGTGTACGCTCTATTATTTTTTAAATAAACACTAATGTTATCTTTTGTTAAGTCAGAATCATTAATTTTATCAAATTTCTAAAAATTTAAAATTTTCAGAACCCTGTAAGCACTGATTGGTAAAGATAAGAATTAGTCAGTGTTATAAACATAAATAAATTAAAAATGTTACTTTACTTCATAAAAAGTGGATTATTCAATTAAGTTCCCCAAGTTTTACATATTGTATTGCCATTTTTAGTTATAGAGGGGATACGAGCAAGTTACTGAATACTTTTAAGGAGGTTTATCTGACTTGGAATTGACGAACAAATATTCAGAAAAAAAATAATATAAGCTTATTAATATGAAGAAAATCCTCAAAAAAAATTATGACTAGTTTGGATACCTTAGAGACGAGATATTAATAAAATAAATTTTCATGATTTAGTACAGAGTCTTATGAGAATACAGATTGTTTTGGTCTTTCCACTTAGAATGTGCAACAATTAACGAACACTTTCCACAGCAACTTGTATAAATAGGAAACCGATATCTAAGGAATCATATGACAGCTCGTAGAAATCGATTAGGTACTTGTAAGATACAAAATTTATAATAATTCTCCTTCAAACTGCTGTCTTTGACAAACTTATCCTCCATGTGTGATAGCGGCAATGCGGCGGTTTTCGACGAAGAGTATTATTTGAAATTCGCAAGTGTGACATATGTTGTATATTTCAAGCTTAGGCATCCAAACAAAGCCAGCCAAGTGCAACGTTGCCAACTCTAAAGGCTTACTACTTTAGTCCCTAGCGAATGTACAGAAACTCTCGTTAGACTTTAGACGTACCTCTGTACCCAATAAACCTCCTTAATTGTATGTTACTGAAAGTAATGTTTTAGAATAACTTATTTTAGAAATAACAAGAAAAGTCCAATTTGTCACAATCCTTTTTTTTTAAAATAGACAGGTTTCAAGGTCAAACTTTTTCACGTCCTCAAAAAAAAGTTTGACCTCCAAACCAGTACTCTATTTTAAAAAAATAAAAGGATTGCGAGAAATTTGACTTTTCTTCTTGTTTCTAAAATAAGTTATAATGGAAAACTCACATTTATCAATTTTGAATTTAATGTTTTAGAATTTGTAACGATTTATAACGTCTTATAGTTACTAAATTTTTATTTGAAATTTCGAAACCCTAAGGGGGCCCAGTATTTTTGCACTGTTCACGTTTATCAGCTTTTCGGTTTATATAAATATTTTGTATCTGAAAAATAACAATAAAAAATACAACAGCCAATAAATAAAGTTCTGTTTCCTATATCGTTTCTATGAAGAAATTCTGATAAAAATTTGTTTATCTAATTTCTTTAAAATTTTTAAAATGTGTATTTTTGTCAGCCGTCATAATTGTATTATTATGCAAAAACGACAAAAGAAATCTTATCTAGATTTCTTTTTTAAAATAAACAATACATGAATAAAAAAATTAAAAACACATCTGAAAAGTAGAGAAAATAGGATATTTTAAAATTTAGATAGTGCAAACATGCTCAAAATATCAAAGTAATAAAGAAAGAACATTATAGAGTTTAGTTGAATTCTAATATTTTTAATTAAACTTTTCTAGTACCATCATCATTTTTGGTCACTGCAATTAATTATCATAAAAAAAAACTTTAAACACAATTATATATTAAAAATATATTGTATTTATAATTTCTTTAATGATTTTAATTTTGTGGTGGTAAAGATACATGATTTCCCTAAGGAACTAATTATGTATAAAATACCGAATAGTTGTGTTTCCAATCAAGGAAAATTCAACTTAAAAAGAAATATCTGAACAAACAGCATCTGTTACAAATGTCTAGCTCTAGTAAAATTCTAAGGCACACAAAAATGAAAAACAAACACATGAACACGGCACAATACTCAAGACAGGTAAATACTCAAAAGATGGCAGCAGCACCGCAGCCAGTCTGACATCTATCTTCATGCTCATCGTAGATTTCGAGACATGCTGAGGAATTTGAACATTCTGATTAACGTTGAAATTGCCGAAGTCCAATATGTCTTCATTAATTATTTTGCAGATGACAAAATGAGTTAAAATTTTGTTAATACAAAGCACTAGGGAAAATCACTTTCTCAAAGGAAGTCGAGTTATTTTTTTTGTTGTAATTGTTATAAAAATCGCATGCAGTTTTAGTAGAAGCGTGTTGTGGAAAACTGAGATTGATTAAAAGAACATACTAAAACTGAATACTGATGTTATTTATGTACAGTATTGGGGAGAACAAAGCACCCATGAACCTCCAAAGTGAAACCAAAACCATGAAAATAAAGTGAATTAAATTTAGCATCGTTTAGCAGCATTGTCTCAAAAAGGATTTTCTAACGGCATGAAAAATTTCTGTCCTAAATACAAATCTATGCGAGGAGTTCCAAAAAAAAGCACAATTTTTATGAAATGGGATTAATGGCTTAATATAAAAAGCAATGGAATAAATTTAGCAAAAAAAATTAAAATAAAATTTTTCTAACAGGAAAAAGTAAAAACGGCAAAACTTTTATCATTTTTTGGAACTCCATTATTCTGATATAAACTTATTGGTTTATTTTAGTTAAGAAAACAATATATAAACCTTAATAAATATTAAAAACTTGGTTTCTTAACTAAAACTCCAATTGATTATAAATCTATCTAATCTACTCTATATAACCATAAATAGAAAATAGAAATATTCCATCACCAAAGCACGATACTGCTTTATTGTTAAAGCTTATCAAAGTTTTATATCAAATCGAAATGAAGTCAGTATTCAGTACATAAAATATCAACTAATTCAATCTAAAATTAGTCTCAAAAATGTATATACACTTTTTAGAAATTAATAAGCACCCGAAAAACAAACCAAATAAACCTAAAATTACCTGTATGAAAGAAAACTCATCCCCAACAGTTAAATTCGATCCTGTGGATGTATTCGAGATATTCGAGAGGTTGAGGGAGTTTATTTCGATCGGTTTCGAGCTCCGTCTCCTTATATTTTCGGCCTCCTTTGCAAACTGAGACTCCACTTCCCTACGGCGTGCCTCTAAGCTTTCTCTGATGCTTCTCCTAGCTTCAGAATGTCTCAACACAATATCAGATTCAGTTTTCTCACGTCGGGGTCTAATAATACTGTTCAGAATGCTGTTTTCTTTTTTATCATTTACGACTCCGTAGTTACGATTCACATCGTTCTTACTAGGAGTCGATGTAATCAGAGAATCGGTTTTCTTTACATATTCAGTTAAGACTGGTTCACCGGTGGTTTTTCTAGACATTCCTACATCAGACCCCCGACGATTATTAAAAATACCGCTAGATCTAGCATTTTTATCGATATACACAGCAGAATGTCGAGCACTCATGGGGAAGAAATCCGAATTTTCTCTTCGGAAACCGCGGAAAAACGGATTCGATATTTTTGAATCGCTCTCCATTCTGCGATGGCCTTGTTTTTTGTCTCTTTCTTCCTTTTTGGTGTCTGAACTATTTGATGGCGAGGAGGAAGATTCTGTGTTTGTTTTTTTAGGGAAGAACTTGTCAAAGTCCCAGTCTTTTAGCAACGTGGCTTCATCTATGTCTTCGACGTTTTGACTTTTGTTGCCATGACTAACTGCAGACTGCTGCCATTTTTTGAACATAAAAATATTTACAAATACAAAGTGGACAGAGTATTCTGTTTGATGTCTTTGCACGAAACATTTCGAAGAAATAATCGTACAATTTGTACAAAACCGAATCAATATCAAATGTATCTTTTCTCAACATAATTTTTAGAATTTAGTTACTTCAGTTATTGAAATCACTAAAATAGACTAGTGAGTTCAATATTATACAGAGTGGCACAAAAGTATGGAAACCCCTGAATAACTCGTCAGGAGTGCATTTTCTTGAAAAATGATAATACAAAAGTTTTAGGATTTTTCCCTGGCTATTCAATGGCGTCCTTGTATTCGACCTTGACCTTCAAGGACATTTCAAGGTCAAAATTGATTTTGCAAATGAAAACCCCTATTTTTTATTGCGGATTTGGAAACAGCAGGAAATTTTAAGTCCAAATATAGTCTTGACCATGACTTTGACAATGACCTTCAAGGTCAAATGTGGGTCGACTTCTAAAAGTCCTGGTACGGCAGAACTTTCGAAGAATGCATTTTGGGAAAAAATGTTTCAGACAAAAGTGTAAGGATTTTTCCATGGCTATCTGATGGTGACCTTGGATTTGACCTTGACTGTGACCTTCAAGATGATTTAAAGGTCAAGTTGAGTTTTTTAAATGGGAATCCCTATTTTTTATTGCGGATTTGGAAAGAGCAAGGTCATTGTCAGTCATGGTCAAGACCAAATTTGGATGTAAAATTTCCTGCTCTTTCCAAATCCGCAATAAAAAATAGGGGTTCCCATTGGAAAAACAATTTTGACCTTGAAATGACTTCGAATGTCAAGGTCAAGGTCGAATAGAAGGGCGCCATTGAATAGCTAGGGAAAAATCCTAGAACTTTTGTATCTATCATTTTTCAAGAAAATGCACTCTTGACGAGTTATTCAGGGGTTCAGGGGTTTCCATACTTTTGTGCCACCCTGTATAAGATGTTACTTAAAAATCACAAACTCTTTGAAAAGAAGGGGCTTGTGTAATTTAGTGCCTCTTTCAAGACATTCAGCTGAAATTTTGCACAGTATTTTATTTCAAGTTGGCACATTTTTCGTGTAATTTTGATTTAAAAAATCGAAGCACGATTAGAGGAAAATAGATTGTAATAGCCATTACAAGTCTGTGCAAAATTTCAACTACTCGTACATTATATTAAAAGATAGCCGAGTTATTAATATATTTATTTTAATTTTGACCCTCACCACCTTGAGAAAAAAGAACTCAAAGTAAAAAATAGCATGGAAAAGCCCTGTTCTGTTCACTCAAAGAATCTGGTTAACAGCAAGCTTGATTTTTTGTAACACCCATATTTCATAAAAATTATGAAAAATAAATGTAACAGAAACATTGATTGAAAAAATTAACAAGCGAAACGGTAAAAAAAACCTACCGAATAAGAAAAAATTAAAATTTATGTTAGCCAGTAATTTTCTGTGACAAATAAAATTAAAACATAATTTTGTGCTGTATTTACAAATATATACAGTGGCCCAAATAAACTAATATTAGACATCAAAGTAAATCCTGCCCAGTGCAAAAAGAAAAATAAAAATATTTACACGAAATAAAAGCACAAACAGAAAATGCACGTACCTTCCTAAGAACCAAAGTTCTGTCGCCTTGAGATTCGTCGTCGTCTGGTGTAGGAGGTAAAGGTCTATTGGGAGCACTACCGGAACTAGAACCAGATCCCGCCGTGGCACCAGGACTCGATACACTCGCCGTGCCTTCAGGGACTACTCCCAGTCCGGCTCTATAAGAAAATTCGGGACTAACAAAACAAAAACGAAAACAAAAAACAAATGGGCAACGTAAAGAGAAATGAAATGGGGAGAAATGAAATGAATTGAAATTAGTAATGTAAAAAATAATAGAAAGAATGAAGGAATATTTTATTAGTAGACGGTTTATTGCAATTCTATCTAAATCTGGTACTTGTACACTTACAGTGGTTTTGGAGGGTCACTAGCCAACAAAGTTCCATCGTTCCTCACTCGTCCGTTGTCTTCAGGTTCTGAGTCACTTTCGCTATCCACGAGGGTGTCAATGTTGTTACCTCCAATGGCCTGGTTGCTAGGTGTGTGATTAGTAGCCGAGCTGGGAGTAGATACATTATTGTTAGCCGCAGACTGTGCCTGCTTGTTATTCCTGTTGTTTCTAGGAGGTGCTTCGGGTTGGTTAGTTTGCTGAACGCCGAGTTCGTTTAAGTGTGCTGCTAACGCGTCTAATTCCTATAACACAGGGACATTCATCAAAAAGATTCATAAAATACGGTCCTCAATATTATGATTTTTCTTTGTCACGTTCTAATGTAGATATAATTCTTTACAAGTTTTAGACTGCAAATTAAATTTCTTGTAGATTAAATTCATCATTTTGCAAATCGAAGTACGATCTTTTACAATCATATTTACCTTTCTGTAAAGTAAATTACGTCAACAAGCGAAAAAGAGGCTGTTTTTACACTTAAATATTATATCAAATTTTATGTATTTCCTTTTGAAAAATGCTTAGTAAATGAAGACCCAAGTGATTTCCCCAGCAAAGTTGTGAACAATTTTTTTTAAACAATAAAAACTTTTTTATAATATCTCGAAAAATAATGATGGAATCGTCTTACTCTCAATAAGACTTTTATAGAGAATAAGAAAACCTATAAAATGGTTTTTTGTGCGACCCGATCGGTTCATTTTTGACAGAGAAGATCCAGAAAAACCTCTAAAATAGACCTTTTTTCAAAAATTCATAACGTCAAATTTGAAGGTGGAAAAACAATCTTGCGGAAAATGACACATAATATGTAGTTTAATCGTGGGCAAGATGGTTTCTGTCCAATGCATAGTTTTTGTACAATTGCATTATAAACGAATTAGGGTCTTTTTTGCAAGTGCAAGTGCAAGTGTGTGATTTATCAAAAATGGTCCGATTTAAATTCTGAAAATGGCACCTGAAGGTAGACGACAAAATCTCCAATTTGTATATCTCGGATTTTCGCCTGGGTGATAGGAAATATGCTAAAAATGCCCTTGAAAGTCGCCCGAAACGATCGAAAGTATGCTCGAGCCAGAGTCAAGTAGTGGTAGTGAGAGAAGCAGCGAGCGGAGGACTCTGGCTCAAGCGTAGTTTCGATCGTTTTGGGCGACCCGAAACCCCGAAATTATTCACGACTTTGCTGGGGAAATCACTTGGGTCTTCATTCACTAAGTATTTTTCAAAAGGTAATACCTGAAATTTGCTGTAATATTCAAGAGTGGCAAAAAATCTCTATTGGTTGGCCTAATTCAAAATTTTACAAATTAAATTCAACTTTTAGGACTAAATTAAGTATACACTTTCAAGTACATAATAAAAATGTACATAGTTTCAATTACATACTTGAAACAATCATCTTTCACCATGTGTTTCAATAGATTTTTTCAAATCCAATTCGTCTAACTTTTGTAAACCCTACAATGAATGCTAAAATGTTTTTGTGAAATCGTGACAGTAATGTTAGTATGAAATTTTCTCGTTCGTATAAGAACGATATTTTATGGAAATACTATAGACAATGTATACCAATTTTTTTTCCATACACTGCTTTTGTCATTCTATACGCTCCTGTATCATAAATTGTACCAATTGGATTAATAAGAATTCTAGGACCAGATTTTTGAAATGTATTTGTTTCATTCTCTTCTAAGTATTCACCTAAGTTTGCACTGTTTCCGAAATTCATGCTCGCCATGTTTCATTCCAATACGAACCTGCCTTAAGGAGGTTTATATGATATGGAATTGCCAAACAAATATTCATAAAACAATTAATAATGCGCAACAATTAACGAACAGCAACTTGTATAAATAGGAAACCGATATCTAAGAAACCGTATGACAGCTCGTAGAAATCGATTAGATACTTGTAAGATACATAATTTATAATAATTCTCCTTCAAACTGCTGTCGTTGACTAACTTAACCACATGCGTTACGGTTTTCGACATAACGTATTATTTGAAATTCACAGGTGTGACGTATGATGTATATTTCAGAATGATTGAACGCAAGCGAGCAAATGCTGAGCCGAGCGTTAGCCAAGTGCAACGTTGCCAAATCTAAAGGCTTACTACTTTAGTCACTAGCGAATCTACAGAAACTTTCATTTGACTTTAAACGTACCCGATAAACCTCCTTAAAGCAGTCAGCAAATGGAGATGGACTAACAAAATTCGTATGTTACGCTCATTCCTTTAGCTTGATACAATTGGCCCAACATTTCCCTTCCTTATTAAATAAGAAAGGTGCTGAACCAATCACATTAGGCTATTTTGAATAAGCTGAACATCAGCTGTGTTGTTTCATCTTTATTAGACGGACTTTTGGTAAACTCATTAAAAAACCAATTGGAACAAATGGTGAAGGATTGGTTGTTTTATATACAGGGTGTTCTTTAATGATATGTAAATATTTGAGGGTGTGATTCTATATGGAAAATTAATGATAGTTTGCTTTATAAACTTTGGTCCAAAAATGTTGTGATGTGAAAATACGGGGTGTTAAAATTTTAGGAAAAAGAAGGAAATTAATTAATATTTTCGAAACCGCTTGAGATATTTCAGTGGTAATTTAGTACATACTGATAGTTAATAAAGGCACATGTTTTTCAATACAAATATAACTTGTAACTCTTAACAGTGCCGTTTTGAAAAAAATTATACGCCAATGAATTTTCCCAAATAAAATTAATTTTGAAATCCCTGTTCAATTCGAAAAATAATAGTTCTCTTGAGTTTTTGTCTTGCAATGTGCCGTTTTTGATTATTGGCACAAGTGATTTTTTTAGCTGTGTGGAGATAGCATTTTATTTTTGGTCCGTCACTTTTATACGTTATGTAAGTGCATATTTGTATTAGTTCTTTATTTTTGTGTTTAAAGGACCCCGCGCTTATCCTTATGGAAAACCGTCCTGGTCGAATGGTACGAAACTTTGCCGAATGATAGTCCTCAATGTGTCGATCACAAAAGTCCATGAAACCTAAGTCTGAAAAACTACTGTTCTGAAGCTACAGCCTTCTGAAGTTATCAAATCCACGTGCTCGATGACCAAGTCAATTTGAATCAACTCAATTAAAAAGGTTTAATTTGATTTGTAAAAAGTTGAATTTTAGGCGCAGTAATTTATCAGAAATCCCAAAAAAATTAATATATATGTATTTGTTAATTTTTTTAATATTTAAGCATTAAACTGTGTTAAAATTAAACTCTTAAGTAACACAAATTTGCAAAGAGTTTTACTTGGAAAACTTATTTAATTTCTCTAATATATGTATTATGTGTTTTAATTTTCCTATTATTCATACAAACAAAATGTTAACAGTATGAGTAAGAAAAGACAGTTAAAACATAAAATGGGTGATAAAAGTGAACACAAATGAAAACCTACCTCAGGTTTACGTGCAGCAGCCTGTAGTGAGAGGTGAAACATGGACATGAAATAAACAGAAGAGCTAAATTAGATGGAAAGCAGTGCTACAAAAAAATATACAAAAAAAGCATAATGTTAATTAAACTAATGCTGACAAAATTAAATTATAAAATTTACAACACAAACATTAAAGTTCAATTAACTTGTGAATTATTTACAAGTTTTTTTATGTTAAATATGTTTGTACATCCAAATCTACAGTAATTATTTAGTCACAGTGTGCAAAGTTACCTCACAAAATTAATAATTATATTGCAATTATTTACAAAATAGTATGTTTTATATTATTGATAATTTTCAATGTACTTTTTTTTGTTCTTTATAATAATTCCTTAGCAGTGACTCATTTGACTTAACACTACGTACCTACTCAAATAGACAAAAAATATTTGTTCAGCTTTAAATAGTCTAAATTCACATATTGTCAAATTTACAAATATTTGCTCATTATAAGGTCTTAAATTAATCATTTAATGAGAGACAAAAAAACATCTGTAAACAAAGATTATTGGCTTGGCCATAAATGATCACATTTAAAATGATTACTAGTGTACATAATAATAAAAAATTAATGGAACTTCAAATATGTACAAAATGGAACATTCACTAAATAAATTGTGTTGTTAGTTGTGTCAATCTATAAAGATTATTTCTATTTACATAACATTGTCCTCCAGTGTAATATTTTTGTGTTGAATGCATATTAAAGGAAAATCATTCAAGCATCATTATAATACATTTAAGTTGCAGGAACAGTAAATACTTTATATTTTTTCAGTTGATTTTGTATGTTAAGAAAAACATTAAAAAACACTTTCCGAATTTTAACCTAGGCAACCTAAGAAAAATTGTGAGAAATATCCAAGGAGGATAAAATTCCCAAAATCGATAGAGTTAGCAGTTCTATACAAGTAACATTTAATAAAAAAATAAATAAATAGATGTGTACGTACCATAGGTTTGAACTGATGCTGTGAGTTCCTTTGTGGTTGTTGTTGTTGAGATCTGGAAGCGGCAAAATTATTATCGGGTGGCGGTGGCAGTGGTCTGGAAATGAGTATTTTAATGGATTTTTTTCAATTTTTTTGTGAAAACCCAAATTAGACACAGTGCTGTTATTTCCTTTTTCAAATTCCAGTTTATACAAGATGTTTTATCCAGAATGGAATACAGCTTGACGGTAGATTTCTGAGGTTAAAATAGGGTGATTACACAACCATTGCATTTTTCAATCTTTAGGATGTCACAATTTAAAAAAGAAATTGAATTTCCATAATCAATTCACCAATCAAGGTAAAAATTAAAAGTTTTTTTTAAGGCAAGTATTTCAAAAATGGCACTCACTAGTAGAGTACCTAAATCATGAAATTTTCAGATTATCTGGTGATATCCCTTTAAAAATATTGCTAACATTTAAATTTTTTTTATTTCATTTTTAAACTCTGCTGACTGAAGAAGAGCAGTGTTTGATTAGGCAAGTAAATTTTAATTTCAAGTATCTCTAATTTGGCTGTTTCCCATTCTTAATGAAACACCCTGCATAAAAATGTCTATTACAATACACGCCAAAATAGTAGACTTATTTTCAATATATGGAACAGTGCGGTTGGTTATGGTATGAACAGGGTGAAGGCTTCAGATTTAGATAGAGGCTACACACACGAAAGCAATGGGGTTTAAATACTGCATGGTTCGATATGTGCACGCATGGCTATTGATCATGTCTCGAGCCTCTATCTATATAAAGACTTAAAATTTGACTATGATGTGCAGTGAATGCGATTACATGGGTGTATCACTTTAGAGGGTTCTGAAAAGTGTAAATACAGAACAAATGGATGTGACGAACTGGACAATATGGCTCTGCGAGAAAAGTCTAGTTAAGTAATGTAGTAACAAAGCTAAAAGTACAAACATCACAAAGATACAAATATTAAGGTATGTACAAACCAGACAACAAACTGTTGCCAACTGTTGGCAACATATTTATTGGACACAACAACTTGTATCTGGATACAGTATTGCGTGAAAATTGGGAAAATGTTTAAACAATCACCACGGCTCACCTAATCGTCCGATTTGAATTTTTCAAAAAGCATTTTAAAGCTTGAGAGCTCTTCTTTTTGTGGTGAAATTTTCAAGTGTTCAAAGGCTTTAGATTTTTAGAAAGAAGTTTAATTGGGAAAAGTATGAAGATACTAGGTATTATTCAAGTGTCTGAAAAAAATTAACAAATAAACTAGCATGTTTTGCAATTTTTTAAATGATTTTTCTGACTTTTGCAACAACAATAATTATTTTTTCGAATCGCAACTAACTCTATCTTGTTCAAAATTTAATTACAAAACTTTTTTTCCTCTTCCATTTATGTCTAAAACGAATAGTTGCTAAGTTGTCGACGAGAAATCCAAGACAAAAATGATTTTTTTTTGCTATTTTTTTATACTATTTTGCAATAACAATTAAGCCCACGTTTTTTTTTATTTGCATATAAAAGTTATCATTTCTGATGTTATTTAGAAGCCGTTAATAAAAGTTCCTTTATAACTTCAACTGTTGTATCGAGGTCTCACATTCACTGTTCTTTTGGTTAGTAATGCACTTATTTCATATTTTCGAAGAATCCCAATTAATCACCTTCTGCAGAAAAACGTTTACATTTAATTTAAAACTTATATTATTTCTTGACATATAAGTTCTTATATCCATCCATATTAGCTCAATGGGATCCAACTCACAGTGGGTATGGTGGCAATTGAAGAAGTGTAACACTGTGAGCTTTAACCATTTCATCCATTACATTTTTCATATTTGGCATTTTTTATAATATTGCTAATAATTATTGTACTTTAAACATCATATATTTACATTTGATTTATTTTCCATTGAACCATTCCATGATTTCTCCTTTTTTCCATGCAGATATTGGCAAATTTTTCAATTTCATTCCAACTATGGTAAGGCATATTATCCATGACAATCACTGCACAAGGAGACGCAAAATTAATGCAAACCATTTTTTAAATACCATACTTTCAAACTATGGTAATCACGAGAACTATTATTGGAAAATCTGTATTCTCTTGCGCTATGTGTAATTATTAAACGCCGTACTTTGCCAGAGGGTGACTTAATCCCACAGAAAATATTTCTCGTCTGTTATAGGTATTTAATCTTGCGAAGCTATCTTTCATATTTTGTCGGTTTTTTGTTTTTAATGTATGAAGCAGTATTATGTTTTCTAAGTAACAAAAATTCATTTCATGCTTCTTATACAATTTATTATATTTCGGAACAAATTAGGCAAGTATCTGTCTTCTGCAATTGCAATTCGAATTTTCTTTAACGTTCTTTTTTGAAATAATATCTGTGATACTTCTATGGTATTTAACATCATTGATAATTTCAATTTATTCCTGACACATGGTTCACGTTTTTGCTTTTTCTACACTTATTAATACTCGATAAACACTTCTGACATACTTTTGTTAAATAATTACACATTTCCATGGCATCACTTATCAACCTATTTGCATTTCATGCTCGAGTTATAATATATTTGATTCGTCAAATTCGGTTTATCATACCCCTTCACTTACTAACAACAGCACACGATTCCATTTTTAACAACACTTAGAATAACTAAAAATGTGAAAATAACATATCTTTCCCACTTTTTGTATATGATAAGCAAAGACAGACACACACGTTTATAACAATAGAACGTTTCAAATGTGCGTATGAACAGATTATTGGAACAATATGCGAAATAAATGGCACATTACAATTCATCAAAATAAGTAGTAAAAATTGTAGTTTGATTTATATATGACTCTACAGCCTACTATTTTGGCACCGAAATATACACTTTTGCATTCAAAGATAATATACATTTTGTGTCACTCACCGTCTTGGTGGGGCAGGATCAGGTATCACTATTACCCTTTGTGGTATGGGTGGTCGAGCTGGGGGTCCAGGTTCGGGAATTTCTTCTCTATCCTTATTTTTACCACTTCTGAAAGAATATGGGTTGTATTTGTACGATAATAAACCTAATCCTATAATATATACCGTGGGGGTGGTTCGACTTGACTAAGGGTGCGCCCTTCTTGTATTTGCTGGAAGTTCCTACGTAAAGTATCTCCTCCGGGAGCCTGAACGATACTACTAGGCTCTCCTGCAAGTTGTGGTTCTTCTTCTTCGTTCTCTGAGCCCGAATATCTGTAATCTTCCCTTTCTTTCTCCTGCTTCCTCTTTTTGCAACGATCGATGTGATCCTTCAGTTGAATTCTTACCTGGCGTTCGGTAGGTTGGTCCCTTATGAATGGGTGCTTTAATAATTGCTCAGTATAAGGACGTTCGTGGTAATCCTTGACTAATACTGTTTCGATGAAGCCATGAAATTTTTTGTTCCACTTTTTGCTTTTGAGTCTCGGAGGTGGGTTTCGTGGGATGAGGAAGAGGGCTCTCATCGGATGCAATTCACAGAGGGGAGGCTGCGATTCGGCCATTTCTAATGCTGTTATACCTAGAGACCATAAGTCACTACGATTGTCATATGTTGCATCAGGATTTTCATCGCAGGCTATAACCTCTGGGGCCATCCAATACGGTGTTCCTATAAAGGTGTTTCGGCGGCCTATTGTTCTATCCAACTGAGCAGACACACCAAAGTCAACTGAAATTCATTTTTGAACAATATTTTTTCAAATAGAATACAAGTTATTCATATTCGTTAAATACTAATGTACAGGGTGGTTAACTTTTTATGGGATGGGAGGGTCCAGGCTAAACAATGACACAAAAAAATAATAATGTAGGTGGCTCATGCTCTTTTTTCTTAGTTTGCTAATATAAGAATTCCTGGCTAATTTGATTAGTTTTTGATATACTGGCAAATTTTTTAATTTAGATCATTTCTATTGGTCTTTATGTGTCCAAAGATGTTTGAACTTAAATAAAATTTCCAAAACCTCAAAATCTCAAATATCTACATGATTTAAAAAGAGAAATTGAAAAAGTTATTAAAATATCTCAATGTAAATTCGGAAACATTAATAAAAAGCAATAAATTATGATAAATATAGACTTAAGTTTGTTTAGAAGTAAATAATTTCTTTCGCAAAATGGTGAATTTTAAAAATTTATAGTTTTCACTGCAGTACATAAGTAATTTCTATGTAGGCTGCATTATGGCGTTGAAAAAAGAAAAAAAATGAATCCTGTAAAAACAAATAAGGTGTTGCATCAATTTATTAATATTTCTGTGAAAATTTGACCTCTGTGACCTACACAAAACACCCTATAAGCTCAACATTTTTTATATACAGGGTGTCTCATAATTAGCTGCCAACCCTGAACAGGCCGATTCTATGATCAAAACTAAGTAAAAAAGTTCATATGAACATGGGTCCGGAAATGCTTCCTAAGGGCACAGGGACCCATTGAAGAGGGAGGAATGGAAATAATTTTTTTGCAATATCTCTCAATCGCGTTGTGATAAATGAATGAAATTTGGTATACACAGCTAAATTTTGATGAGCAATTTGATGGACTAATCCATTTATTTCCACAAGGTCCATTGGGGTGGGTACGGGGGGGCCCTTGGTACTTTGCGTGTGTAACTTTTTCATCTTTGACTTTTTAACAAATTGGACAGCAAATTCCGTTTTCCCGAACTGTTTTACGTTAAAAAGGTACTCTTGTTTCAAATCGTTATCTTTAACGGTTTCTGAGAAAATCGCTCTTGAATTAATCCCACTTTGGTCAATTTCATAGTAATTTAAACAAAAAAAAATAATAATAATTTTCCTTTCCTCTCTTTTCCATTTAAAGGATTAATTTTTATTTAATTTAATTTTTTATTATTATTTTTTTATTAAAATTAGATTAAATTTAAACAAAAAAATTTTTTTTGTTTAAATTACTATGAAATTGACCAAAGTGGGATTAATTCAAGAGCGATTTTCTCAGAAACCGTTAAAGATAACGATTTGAAACAAGAGTACCTTTTTAACGTAAAACAGTTCGGGAAAACGGAATTTGCTGTCCAATTTGTTAAAAAGTCAAAGATGAAAAAGTTACACACGCAAAGTACCAAGGGCCCCCCCGTACCCACCCCAATGGACCTTGTGGAAATAAATGGATTAGTCCATCAAATTGCTCATCAAAATTTAGCTGTGTATACCAAATTTCATTCATTTATCACAACGCGATTGAGAGATATTGCAAAAAAATGATTTCCATTCCTCCCTCTTCAATGGGTCCCTGTGCCCTTAGGAAGCATTTCCGGACCCATGTTCATATGAACTTTTTTACTTAGTTTTGATCATAGAATCGGCCTGTTCAGGGTTGGCAGCTAATTATGAGACACCCTGTACTATATGCATATATAAGAACTGACAAAAATCAGCCATATTTAATAAATCTTCTGTATGTTGAAAACCAAACAAGTTAGTCAGGATTTGTTTGTAACAACAAGAGCACAAGAGATTAATTTTTTTTATCATCACTGTTTAGCCTATACCTTGCCAGCTCACACGCAATGGGCCACTCTGTATGGCAATTAAAATGTATTTTCTGTAACAAAATACTTACAAATACTCAATTAGGAAAATTATTTAACATCTATTTTGTATTGACATACATTTTAGAATAAAACGAAATTTAACTATTAAGGAATTAAATAAAATTAAACAGAAGTTTTTCATTATACTGCAATTAAAATCATTTTACAGTATATTAGTTCTAGTAATCACTTTAAAGGTTAAGTGATAGAGTATATCCGTTACACTTTGGTGTTAAATTTTGATGATTCCGACACAATTACTTTAGTTAAAGCAAATCTCAGAGGAAGGACCTTTTATTAATTTACATATAAAACAATATGGAGAAAAGAAAATAAATTTATAGGTAGGTAGTTAAGATTCCTTTTATTTTGTACATTGTTATCTGTATTAACCAAAATACTAAATATCTATTTTTCATTGTTATTTAACGGTAAGAAATAATAACAAGTTAAAATTTAATGTTATCTGATTTATAAGCTCCAAAGAATTAATATAAAGACGATTAAATTTTAAAGGCGATAACTTCTTAAAAAAAACAAGAAAAAACTTTAGTCACATCTATTCAGACAAATAGATCAATAACTTAGTCATAAAACTATCAAACAAGAGATAGAAAAAGAAGAAAGTTTAATTAGTTTTATCAAACATACCTCAATTATCTAAGACAAAAGTAATGTGGAACAAAACAAATATTTAACCTCAAACTGATATAAAAAAGATATGCATAAAAATAGATATGAATTGAATCTACATGATCAATAAGCTTACAATGCAGAAGGAATTTGCACTGTTGACAGTGACTCAGCATGAATTATGAACAAATTTTATAGTCATAGTTCACATAAAAGCAAATTATCGACTCTTTAAAAGCTATTAGCTTTATTGTTAACAATTGATGATATGCGTGCAATTCTTAATTATTAATTAATGATAATCAAATGACCTCGAGCATTGCGGTGTTGAATACTTCATTAACATAAATGTTACTTTGTTAAAAATATTTTTTTCTTAGTTAGTTAGAAACGTTTTTTATTTTCATGTTTTGCCAAATTTATTTTTGTCAAATCAGAAGTGGGATCACTGACAAAAATAAAAATTTAACATAGGTACCTACCCAATCTAAATTTTATAGGGTTTCATCTTCCAGCAGGATGATGTACACTGTACATACAAAGAAATTGGATACAGTGTAGTCGAATTAAGATTGTTATTAGTAATAACTGGTCACTAATGAAGATGATGTAACCCAATGTTAAATGATGAAATTTTTATCTTTGTCACTATTTACAATCAGAATTTTTAAAATATGCTTTCTAATAAACCACATAGTACAAAAATTTGTATATTTAAAGCAACTGTATGTCACAAAAATTTCATTTAATTTTTATTTAAAATTTGCAAAATTACAAGTACTTTTAAAAAATATAACACTTGTATTTTCAAAAACATTCTAGTTATAAGTATAATGTCACTTAATGTACTTAATACATTTTGAAAAATTCTGGATATCTTGGGAAAATCCTGCCAAATATTTGTATTTGTCAGTAATTCGATACAGATCAGATAGTATATCTATATGTATGAGTTAAATGTCAAGGGTTTTATCTCTGGTGGTGACGACAGGTTAATAAGAGGTACAAGTGGGCATGAAGAGTAGCAATTTAATCATATCAAACAATAATAAAGGTTTATCATTCATGAGATTTGTAATAAATCCGGCTTATCGTGTTGCATTATTACAATCAACCTTGACAGATCAATTGTACTCAAACAAGTCAAATTAACTGATAAAATTCAAATTCAAAAGTTTGAAATGGTTGAATCACAAACTTACCTAATTTAACTTCGGCATTATCCGTTAACAGGACATTCTGCCCCTTGATGTCTCTGTGGATAACCTTGTTTGAGTGCAAATATGACAACCCCCTCAGGATTTCACGGCAGATGTATGCTATCCATTCTTCTTTCAGCGACTGACCCTTCGTAGACTTCACTAGATCAGTTACAGATCCTAGAAGAAAAAATTTGTAATACAAATTCTTAACATAAAAGCAATTGTAAGATCTTAATTGAGAAATTATATCCAGACATTTTTATGTATTTATACGGTATTAAATATAGGTTAACTAATCTGACCCACGTAATGTAAATAAACTTGAGAGAAATTAATAAGTACCTACTACTTAAGCAAGTATTCAAATGAACGTGAATATGTATATGAGATTTCTAAAATATTGACATGAACAGTACTAACTGCGTCAATTACTTGACATTAATTACCGTTAAAGTAAGTAAATACTTATTATTAAAATATTTTAACAAACAAATATTTTTGAGTTCTTTGTGACACAAACAGTTTCTATTTATTTTGGATATCTTGTTACACTGCAAATTAAAAAAAAACTAAATAAACTGCTGTCACTTAGTCAAAAGTTGACTTAAAATTTTGTATGTGTACTTTGAAACCTCAAAGTGAAAGTAAATAAATATTAAGTACGTTATTAAAAAGACCTCACACTATACGTTAAATTTTCAAAACCCTTTATACTTGTTTTTAACAAATATTTTTTACATCAAAATCGTCAAATGTGACAGTTTATATTTTGTGATCCTTACAGGTACTTACACCTACATCAGATTAGCTTATAAAACCAATGATGTTTAATCTTAATCACTGGTTTGATATATTACCTATAAGAGAACCCGTCTAATTTTTGTCAATGCTCAGTTTTATGGGAACATAGGCAGTCAGCAACCAGGGGGCAGCACAGTTGATGTCTGTCAGATCTCAAAGCATGGACAGATATGATTCTTTAGTTAAACTTTTATAATAAGAATAATAAATGTAATAAACGCAATAAAATGAATTCGCATTAGAAATTTTTTGTTAAAAAAAGGCAAAATTTTCACAATAAAAGTAGAAAAGTAAAAATGAACAACTTCAAATTAATTTAATTTTACAAGGATTTAGAATATTTAAGAGCAACCAACACGTGTTTCGTGACTTACAAAAAAACGATGTAAAAGAATATTCTTAAATTTAAATAAAGTAAAAATTTAACATTAGCCGTGTTGTTCCTAACACTCATGCTCAGAAAGAATTGCCTCATATGCAGGTGAGCTCTTGTTGATATGTTATCGCTGTCATCATTAGCGTATTTTCTCTTGTTTTGTTTAATCTTGGCATTTTCTAGTTCTACTAAGTATTGTTATTGTTTTTCTTGGTGTTGTACTATGTCAGTGTGTTTATCGAGTGTTTTTTTCTTCAACTGATTTATTATAGACATACTCTTAACCATAACCAAACTTTCCTGGAATGATATCCTGTTGCGAGGCTACTTCGCTTACATGAAATTATTTTTAATACGCATGCTCAGAAACATTGACATAATTTTAATATATTAATTACTATAAAAGACAATATTGTTCTATAAATTTAAATATATAAATTCTACAATTCTATTAGTTTGTCACTTGTGGTTTGAAACTTCTTGAATATTTCTAACATTGCCAGAATATCGCAATATTGAAGGTCACGACAAAGAAGCCTTTTTGGCACTTATGTTTAAAGTATATAAGGTCGAAAATCGATCTAGTAAAAATATTGAGAAATTCTTCATGACAATGTGCACTATGGGGTTGTCTATTATTTGGAGTATGTGACTTCATTACTAAAAAGGTCTAAGTACTGTACCGATTTGGTTATAGATACCATATTTATCATTGTGATTTAAATCGAGATTTTAATATAAAATGATGTAATTATGCTAAGATTAGAATGACTATTAGATAAGCAAAACGGATAAAATAAGAGATATGTTGCTTTCTAGACCAATGATTCAGCTCTTATGTATTTCAAACCACTAGCAATTAAAATTCAGCCCACCATTATCAGAGGCAGTCACCACAATCTATTTACGTATTATTATACCCAAATGCTCCTATTTCAGGTTTATGAAAGTACAAAGAACCCAATTTCTTCTACGAAAGTAGATTTTGAGACTTTGGAATTGAAATTCTTACCTGCACCACAGTATTCCATCACCAACCACAACTGATCGTCTTTGCCCGGAGGAGATTTCTTTATGAATGCTCCATAATAAGTGGCAATGTTACGGTGATTTGAATATTTCTTGAGAACATTTATTTCCAATTTGATTTCTTCCTCCTCATCTTCGGTGACGTCCATAACTTTAATAGCCGCCAACTGGCCAGTTTTTGTATGCCGCCCCTATAACAAATTATACAAACATTTTTGAAAAGTGCATTCTCTAGTCACAAATTAACTTCTAAATGCAATGCAAACATGTATTTTGTAATTTGCAGATAGAAGTAGCTTTGTTATAATTTACGATGTAATTATAGACCTATATAGTGAAATCTGAAATTTATCCATTAATTTTATAAGCTACACACCAAATCTGTTTATGAAATTTCATTGTAAATCCTAAATTTCTCATAAATGAAGCTTTTAAAAATTATTCCAAAGTACAGTAAGCATCCAATTAGATCCAACATTTCTCTCATTCGTTCATATTAAAAGAGGCTACCCGCGCATTCCTGGAACTTTGGAAGATGACGACGATTTAACATAATCCTCAATAGCAAATACGATGGCAAATAATAAATGGCTATGCTATGTTAGTAGTCAGTATAGGGTATCTTCCATTAGATACAACTTTTCCAGATGGGAATAGAAATTTATACATATAACAATTCCACAAATTCTTCAATTTCTTTAATAAGTGAATATTATAATTGGTTCCAAATAATTGAAAAATGAACTTTTGGTATTGCATTCATTCTTAGTTTTATTTCCAAATACTGTGTTAAAATATTTACAGCCTTTTACCACACTTGTTTAATTTCTATGTTAATAAATGTACTATTCCTGACATGTGGAAGGTGATTAATAATAATTATCTTATATAAAACGATTTTTCTCAAGATGTTTGTAATAATTCTTTATAATCATATATATTTATATGCTAAACGTTTTATTTAAAGAAATAACAAAGAACCCTGCTCAAAATCAATGGATTTTGCTGAAATTGCAGTATGTTATAGTTTTTGACTTTCTGATCAAAAGTTGCCATGGGCCCAGTGGATATGAGTAGTTTCAGAGATAAAGAAGTTTCAAGTTGATGGATTCAAAAACTGAGGCATGTAATGAATTTTGACCATAAGTACAATGCTTTTGGGATCGCTCAACCTGAATTCGGGGATAGCTTAGATATCTAAGGTCACCTGGAGGTCAGGTAATGGTCGTTTCAAGGTCACACTGAAGAAAAGATTTGTACTGAATTTTGACCAGTGAGTGTATAGGTTTTTGGGCTCGCAGAATCTGAATCTGGAGATAGCGTAACCCTAAAGGTCATAGCTTAGCCCTATAAGGTCACATTTAGGTCGAGTCAAGATCATTTCAAGGTCACAGTAAAGAAAAGGCCTTTCACGACTGTTAACCTGTAAGTATGTATGCTTTTGAGGTCACTGAACCTGAATTCGGCGATAGCTTAGCCCTAGGTCACCTGCGGTTCTTGAATTGAGATCAAGTCGAGTGAAATGATCTTGACTTGATTTCCAGGTGACATAGTGTAGGTATTATGTCAATTTGTAGAGTCAACACTTGTTAATAGTTTACAACCNGTGGAAAAAAATATGGGCTGCCATTTAAAAAAATTGCCGATGACGTCATACATCAAAAACAAACGAAACAAAATAAAAGTCGATGGCTGAAAAAAGTGACATTTTATAAACTAAAGTTGACGTGTCCGAGGATTTCCTGTCAAAACCCTTCAATAACGATTTTTCGAATTTATTCCAAACTTTACGAGCTCTGTGTATATCTATATAAAACGATTTTTCCCAAGATGTTTGTAATAGTTCTTTATAATTTATATACTAAAAGTTTTATTTTACCTGATCAGCATGATTTCATGTAAAAGAAATAACAAAGAACCCCGCACAAAAACAATGGATTTTGCTGAAATTGCAGTATGTTATAGTTTTTGACTTTCTGATCAAAAGTTATAGAGATAAAGAAGTTTCAAGTTGATGGATTCCAAAACTGAGGCATGTAATGAATTTTGACTAGTAAGTACAATGCTTTTGGGATCGCTGAACCTGAATTTGGGGACAGCTTAGATATCTAAGGTCACCTGGAGGTTAGGTAAAGGTCGTTTCAAGGTCACACTGAAGATTTATACTGAATTTTGACCAGTGAGTGTATAGGTTTTTGGACTCGCAGAATCTGAATCTGGAGATAGCGTAACCCTAAAGGACATAGCTTAGCCCTATAAAGTCACATTTAGGTCGAGTCAAGATCATTTCAAGGTCAAAGTAAAGAAAAGGCCTTTCACGAATGTTAACCTGTAAATATGTATGCTTTTGAGGTCACTGAACCTAGATTCGGCGATAGCTTAGCCCTAGGTCACCTGCGGGTCTTGAATTAAGATCAAGTCGAGTGAAATGATCTTGACTTGATTTCCAGGTGACATAGTGTAGGTATTATGTCAATTTGTAGAGTCAACACTTGTTAATAGTTTACAACCCGATAATGTATTATCAACTATTTCGGTTGTTGCATTTTCTGCATTTATCATTTGTGATTGTGTCGTCCTTTAGAATATGCTTTTTGTAGGTATATGTGGCCATGATCTGATCTTAAATTGCAAAAATAAAACCCTCAGTTTCAGGATATAACTGAGCTTTTTGTAGAAATTTGTATATTTCTGCTCTACTTATATCTATTTCTGACCGACATTACATTATTACAGTGTCTACCGTAAAGCGGTCTATAAGATCAATTTATTTTTTCTGTTGCATTGAGGATGAAAAAAAATTTTTATTATTATTATTACTATTAGTATGAATAGCAGTATTATTATTATATATTCAAAATAATTTTTTAAAGAAAGATAGGAGATAGCTTATACTCAACAATAGTTTTTTAACATGANGATCCGTGGTGTGATGATGTGTTGCAATTTTGGAAAACAGAGAATAAAAATATAAGCAAGTAGGATATTTACAACGGATGAGTGTTAGAGAATACTCAGTCTGGTTGTCGGTGATTATGAGATACAATGTAATATAAAATTCCTTAAATTTAATATTTACAATTAAAGTTAAAGTTAATTATTTTAATACTATTGTTATAATTAATACGATGAAATCTAAATTAAGGATGGTGAAAAGTTAACTGAATTTATACTAACGAGAGAAAAAAAATCTACAGTATTTGAGAATCTGTGCAATAATTAATTCAAAATATTTCAAATATTTAAAAAAATATAGTTTACATATCGAAATTGTTAACAAGAATTTACTAAATAAATTTACACAAAAGATAATGCGAAAACAACCAGATCATATCGTGGATATCTAAATTTACAGCAAAAATAAAAAGAAAACACCCCATGTAATAGTAAAATGTGAATAAAATTAATAATAATTTCGTTACAAGTCTAATTCGCTCAATCCGGAACTCATAAACCTTAAGCCCAAAAACCATAAACCCATAAACCCGTAAGGTTTATGGTGCTGTGCGATTTTGGCATTTTTAGGTTAGGATATCTCGAAAACCAGAGCCAATTGAAAAATTTGAACCGAAAAAATTTGATTCGATTTCAGGGCACCAAAAACATTGGGAAAGTATATTCGTGTTGTTGGGTTAAAACGTTATTCTAGAAAATCGCACGTTTCAAAAATCGTCACTAACACTTAATGCGCAACGCAATGCTGCCAACCGCATATCACTAAATATCTCCAATAGCACTTAATTCGATTAAGTTCGATTATCTTCTGAACAGACCCTAGACGTTTCTGCAGACAGAATCGCAAAAGAAAATTAAGTGAAAAGTTTTTTATAGTTAATTGTTAATGATATTAAAATTAAAAAGAAATAAGTTTTTAATAAATTAATTAGAAAACCTAGATGATATCGACTCGTCCAACGAAAACTATAGTAACTCATAAAATTAGTATTTTGAGTTACTATAGTCCAACAATCGATTATAAAAGTAATATTTCCCCAGAGAAGTATCGTAACTCTCTGTGAACTGTAGGCAACTAATAATACACCCTGAAATGTATAGTAAGTTATGAATTTCTATTATTTCCAAAGAAGAAAATAGAAACTTGAGTTACTATNTTATTATTATTACTATTAGTATGAATAGCAGTATTATTATTATATATTCAAAATATTTTTTTAAAGAAAGATAGGAGATAGCTTATACTCAACAATAGTTTTTTAACATGAATTTTAGTTTATAATAGTTTGACAGACTGAAACTGGGACAACCTGTATATACGCAATGTGAACTTTAATTTTTATTTTTCTCTTTAATATCTTCGAAAAATATTACTACAATTTATTATGAAATAAAGGAAATTTCCTTTTTATAAGTACGACCGACAGCACTGAACCTGCTTTCCCATTTAATATGCATGTAAAATCATTTCCCTCGACCCAATAAAAGCATTACCAATTAATCTGTCTTCATCAAATCTGACAGGAGCTACTGACGTTAATGTAGTTTACATACCAGTTTACATAATATCAGGAACAATATGCATTACGTTATATAAGCTCTAAAGGCTTTTACAGGCTTTAAATCTGCACTTTTTTATATGTGCGGTGGTATACGCTACACAGCAACCGTTTCATTCAATTAAACAATATATCGACTCGTCCAACGAAAACTATAGTAACTCATAAAATTAGTATTTTGAGTTACTATAGTCCTACAATCGATTATAAAAGTAATATTTCCCCAGAGAAGTATCGTAACTCTCTGTGAACTGTAGGCAACTAATAATACACCCTGAAATGTATAGTAAGTTATGAATTTCTATTATTTCCAAAGAAGAAAATAGAAACTTGAGTTACTATAGTTTTCGTCGTCACCAAACATACATAGTGCTTATTTACTATTTCAAGTTACGATTTTATTACTTGTCAGAACTGTTTAGTTTTTGTTAGTAGTAAGTGCCAAGTGCTGTTGGTATTTATTAACTATGTCTAACAGAACCAAATATATTTTAAGCCTTGTTGCAAAAGATGTTGATAAAGGAATTGAACTTGAAGGTAAGTTATAGCGATTCTTTTTGTAATTTTATCTTTATGCTACTTTCTAACCTAAAAATATTTTCACGCTTTTAATTTCTAGTAGTAAAAATTTATTACTTTTGTTTTAGTCATGAAAAATAACAAACTTAAAGTGCAAG